AAATCCTTGCCGCAACCGCAGTTCCCCTCATCGTCTTCTGGAAACAACAGCCAAAGAAGAAGGGGCTCTTGAAAACAGCCACCGCTGCTTTGGCATGGCATATCCTCTACTATGCAGTCATGGCATTGGCTACTACCATGTGGGCAGGTTGGTTGAGAAGACATCTTATGTTGTATCGCATCTTTAGCCCGAAATTCATGATGGCGGGTGCGGTGCTTGGAGTGGCGGATTTGATTACTTTGACGGTTGTGTTGGTGGGGATTAGGTGGAATGTTGCGGGTGTGTTGAATGTTTTTGGTTGGCCTTGAGGCGGGGGTTGGATTGGAGGAGGGGGGTGGATGGGATTAGAAATCTTCAATGTTGTGTAGAGATAGTGGGAAGAAGGAGGTTTGGAGAGGGGGGAATGGGTGTTTTTGAATAGCATAGCGTTGGTATGGTATGGTATTATGGTTTGGGTGTAGGGTCAATGGAAAATCCATCAGAATTAGAATAATATGTTTGTTTATCGATTGTTGACTTGGTCATCTAATCACTGGATGTGTAGTGTGGGAAATTTGTAGGTGTGGAGTAGAGTGTCCCATGCAGGCAGTGTAGTGCGATGCGATGCAGTGTATAGCGCAGTGTATAGCGCAGTGTATAGCGCAGTGTATAGCGCAGTTGGAGAATCTCAGATCTGGATGGTTACGGGGTATGTTTCTATGGATACCATTGAATATGAGTAGAGCTGCTATAGTTTGGAGATGCTATAGTTTGGAGATGCTATAGTTTGGAGATGCTAGGGTTTGGAGATGCTGATGGAATGTGGAATGATGTATTTGGAGATGTTATAGTTTGGAGATGCTAGGGTTTGGAGATGCTGATGGAATGTGGAATGATGTATTTGGAGATGTTATAGTTTGGAGATGTTATAGTTTGGAGATGCTAGGGTTTGGAGATGCTGATGGAATGTGGAATGATGTATTTGGAGATGTTATAGTTTGGAGATGTTATAGTTTGGAGATGCTAGGGTTTGGAGATGCTGATGGAATGTGGAATGATGTATTTGGAGATGTTATAGTTTGGAGATGTTATAGTTTGGAGATGCTATAGTTTGGAGATGCTGATGGAATGATGTAGATGTAGATATAGATGTATATGGCCGGTTATATGGCTGGTTACATGGCTAGAAACCTACAGGCTATTATTTTGCATTGAGTGGTTCAAAAGTCTATTTATAGATAGGAATAGGTATTTAGTATATGAATGAATGATATAGATAGATGAATAAATGAATAAATGAATAGATAGATGAATAAATGAATGAATAAATAAATAGATGAATAAATAGATGAATGAATAGATAAATAAATAAATAAATAAATAAATAAATAAATAAATAAATAAATAAATAAATAAATAAATAAATAAATAAATAAATAAATAAATAAATAAATAAATAAATAAATAAATAAATAAATAAATAAATAAATAAATAAATAAATAAATAAATAAATAAATAAATAAATAAATAAATAGATAAATAGATAAAATAGATAAATAGATAAATAGATAAATAGATAACTAGATAATAAATAAATAGAATAAATAGATAATAAATAATAAATAAATGAATGAATACTAAATCAATAAATGAATATAATAAATAAATGAATAAAGGAATAAATAATGACATAAATGAATAATGAATAAATGAATAAATGACTAAATGACTTAAAATGACTAAATGAATAAATGAATTAAATGAATAAGAATAAATGAATAACATGAATAATGAATGAATGAATGGAATAAATTGACGAATAAATAATGAATGAATAAATGACTGGAATGAATGCAATGAATGAATGAATGAATGAATGGATAGATGGATGAATAAAGTAGGCTGAAGTAGATTAAGGTAAGTAGGATTGAGATTGAGATGGAGATTGCGATTGAGATTGAGTTGAGATTGAGATTGAGCTTAGTGAAAGTAGGCATTAGTGATAAATGATAGTAGAGATGTGGATTGAGGGTGGGAGGGAAAGGGGGGAAAGGGAAAGGGAAGGGAAGGGGAAGGGGAAGAGGAAGAGGAAGAGGAGGGGAAGAGGAAGGGGAAGGAGGAAGGGGAAGAGGAAGAGGAAGAGAAGAGGAAGAGGAAGGGGAAGAGGAAGGGGAAGAGGAAGGGGAAGAGGAAGAGGAGAGGAAGAGGAAGAGAAGAGGAAGAGGACGAGGAAGAGGAAGAGGAAGAGGAAGAGAGGGAATCGCTTTTTATTTTACTGGTGATATTGCTTGTTATTGTATAGATACATACCTAGGTATTAATGATTAATGAAATAAGAAGTGATAGGAGGGTTGAGATAAGATGAGATGAGATGAAAACTAATATCAAAAATCATATATACCAAGCGAGGTAATAGATACTACTAAATACTAGGTAGATAGATATTCACTTTATCTTCAATCTTATATTATACTTAATCCTAGGGGATAGGTATTTAATACTTAATACTTAATAATAATAACAACTTTCATTATTTGAATAATATTCACTTATTTATGGATTTTCTATTTCGTCGTATCCTTTTTCGAGGAATCTCTTCTATCCCCTAGAGTGCTAACCACGGCTGGGTTCGCTTACAATACTTTGTTAGTTAATCAAAGTATTATAATTTAAAATTTTTTGAAATTGTAAATTATATTTATTTTGATAATAAAATATAATAGGATTTAAAAACTCTATCAAATTTATTTTTGAAATAAAATAAATAAATTTATAATTCAATTTCTAATTGTTATTATATTAATAAATATCATTTTTAAATTCTAATTAAATAGTTTTTATATTTAATATAATTTATAAAATTATTAATATTCTTATTTGTGTACGGGTTACATAACCTGGCTGTAGTTGGCACTCTAGGGGATACACTCCTATCTAGGTAGCTAGATAAATAATTGAGAAAGCTTTTAGGGGATTGAAATTTGAGTAGGAGTACCTAGTAAATGATTCTAGGGTTGGAATTTCTGAAATTTCTGAAATTTATCTTATTTTATTTGGGGGGTGGGAATATATAGGAAGGACTTTGAGGAAGATGTTTCTAAGAATTCTTAAGATATAGAATTTGATATATTGAGAGATATTTACAAGTCCATTCTTGCAGTGGGCCGTTAGTCTGTTCTGTACACCCATTGGTGGCGTCAATTGCGAATGTTAAAGGGTCCAACAGATGTGCAACATAAAGTTCGGAGGTACGGTATCATGTGATTTGGACCCATTGAAATTTGATCCGAGTTGATACGGCGCGATACGGTTTTGTCGCGAAGAGCCAAGTGTATGGTGTAGCTTCTACATTATTTTATTTTACTTCATAAACAACGATAATTTCCGTGCATTGGATTGGACCTTTTGAGAAAGAATTAAAATTCGAAGATTTATTCACAATGTCGGATTTGCCAAGAAGAAGACAACGTCCGGATAGTACAAAAATGTGGGAGGAAAGCGAAAGTCGTGGGTCTGCTCGAGACCGAGATGAGATAAATGATCGAGGAGATCGACGCGATGAGAGAAATCGCAATCATGATCGCAGTCGCAGAGATAGAAGCTGGTCGCCGCGCGACTCGAGAGATCATAGACGCAGTTCGTACAGAGATCGAGAGAGGGAACGAGATCGCGGTGGGAGGAGAGATGAATATCGAGATGGGCGAGGGAGTGACAGGAATAGGGATTATCGGGAAAGAAATGAGGAGAGGTCGGATAAGAGAGATGGACATCGAAGAGATGTGCCGGATAGGACTAGAGGTGAGCTTATGCCCAATGCGCTTTCGCAGACGGTGTTTGCGCTGAGAGGTAGATCTAACGTTGAACAAGATGATACTCGACAATCTCGAGGAATTGATGAGGATAGAAATGGGAGAAAAGGTATGTTTTCACCGGATTCAGCGCAGGATGGAACATTTGTACTTGCGATCAGAACACTGTCTAACACGCATCAAGACAATGCGCGATCAGGAGAGAAATCAAATGAACGAACAAGATCTAGGAGTCCGCGGCGCGACGATGAGCGAGATTACAAAGAAGATGGAGGTAGTGAGAAGACACGAAATAGCGAATATATAGACGACGCTCCACAACCAGTCAGCTTCAGTATTGGGGCTAGTCATACAAATACAGCTACAGCTCAAGATCACGATCGGATGGATGTTGATGGTGGAAACAAGAAGGCGTCACGGCATAAGAAGAAAATTGAGGAGGAGGAAGAGGAAGAAGAGGACGATGATATTGTGGTTGAGGATGATGGAATGGCAGCCATGCAGGCAATGATGGGTTTTGGGGGATTCGCAACGACGCAAAATAAACAGGTAGCAGGAAATAATGTTAGTGCTGTGAGGAAGGAGAAGAAGACACAGTATCGTCAATACATGAATCGGGTTGGAGGATTTAATAGACCTCTGAGTCCGAGTAGGGATTAAATGAGGAGCAAAGGAGTGGAAGAATGGATCATGGCAAACAGGCCAGATGAGGGGTTACATATTGAGAGAGAGGGGGAAGACTGTATGAATTCGTAGATTTGTGGATTGAAGATTGGCAGATTGGTAAATTGGTATTAATACATGACCACATGATATCCGGGGAGTTATCAACCTTGTCCATTGGCACTTATTTGAGCGTTTGCCCATGCCAAGATAGTTGAGACTCGAGAGGATAAATACTCAGGAACACTTTCCCGATTACCGGAAACATAATTCATTTATCCGTAACTTTCGGCCCGCGTCTCTATCCGTGCTTTGAATATTTGAACCAATAACCATATGGCATCATGCAGCCTTCCCTGCAGCCTCGCGCCACAGGCTGATCGCAACGCAATCTATCCACAAATTCGCAACGGTGTTCTTTGGATATCACGTCCTATGATTTCTCTCATAAAAGCCTTTTTTCCTTTCTTCATCATAAGTTAAGTATCCAGATTGCCAGTTCTGGATCTTCAACTTTTTGTTTTCTTCAATTGGAATTGGGGAAAAAGATGACGCCTGTCACATTGCGGCCCGTCACAGCTCTGGTAGCGGTACTTTCGCTGTTGGGCACTTCGGTCCACGCGGCTGAGAAACAAGATGTGGGAATTGTGACGACGGAAATCGCGCGAGAACAGAATAGTAGTTTGTTATGGGGTGCTTACAAACCGAATTTGTATTTTGGGGTTCGTCCGAGGATTCCTAAGAGTTTTGCCGGGGGCTTGATGTGGGCGAAGGTGGATAATTTCGTGGATGTGCAACATAGTAAGTTTTGTGTTTTATGGGAGGGTTGGAGGATGGGAGTTTGGGTTTTGTTTGTGGTTGTAGTGATGAGGAGGAAGATGGAGCAATCATGGCTAATTGGATAATTTATAGACTTTAGACATACTTGCGAGCAAGGTGATGGTATGAGAGGTTATGGATGGGAGGAATTCGATGCTCGCAATGGCGGGAAACAAACTATGTACGATGAGAGCAATGGGATTGATATCAGCACTTTCTTTGTCAAGTCCCCTGGGGGAAAACATGGCGGAAACTGGGCTACGAGAGTGAGGGGTAAAGTTAGGGATGGGTCGCCTGCAGATTTGAAGACGACGATGATTTTCTACGCTTCTCTTGAAGGACTGGGAAGTTTGACGGTTGCGAATGAGCAGGATGATTTGGGGTTTGAGGGAGAAGTCAATTTCAATGGTGATTCGGATGGCTTGGGCGAATATAAGATTACGGTTACTCCTGGTCGGGGTTATCATCCTGCTTCGGATCATCCGTCTTACAAGGAGAAGCCGTTGGATAGAACTTTTGTTCACTCTCTTACACTTGATGAGAAGTTACTTTGGGCTGCGAAGCCTCATTTGTTCGGCAAGTTGAAGGAGCAAATCGATGAGTATCTTGGAACTTATGGAGAAGACAATGCTCCTCCTCCATATCAGATTTATACCGTCTCACACGCACCAGATGAAGGAAACTTCCATTTGGTTCAAAAAGTCTTCGAGGGAGATTTTGAATTCGATATCATTTTCAACAGTGCCTCGGCGGAGAAGGAACTTTCTAGTCAAGAAATCTCGAGATTGATTGGCGAAAATAGTGTATCCTTCTACAACAGATTTATTTCTACATTCGATCTGCAGCCACCTTTTGATATTGAGAGTCTTCAAAGATTCTCGAGTAAAATGTTCTCAAACTTGATTGGTGGTCTTGGATATTTCCATGGAGATTCGGTGGTCGATCGTTCGTATGCCGAGGAGTATGAAGAGAGTAACGAGGGCTTTTGGGAAGAAGCCGCAGCAGCACGGGGACGAAGACAAGAAAAGCTGGAAGGTCCATCTGAGCTTTTCACTACCGTTCCATCTCGACCATTCTTCCCTAGAGGATTCCTTTGGGATGAAGGATTCCATCTTCTTCCGATTGCCGACTGGGATATTGATCTTACCCTTGAGGTCGTCAGAAGCTGGTTCAATCTTATGGATGAAGATGGATGGATTGGTAGAGAACAAATTCTTGGTGCTGAAGCTCGCAGCAAGGTTCCAGTTGAATTCCAAACACAATATCCTCATTATGCAAATCCACCCACGCTATTTTTCATCATCGATGCTTTTATTAGCAAGCTTGGTGCACTGAATGGTACTTCGCCAGAAGCAAAGGAGCAACTCAGCCAAGAACCTTCAATCTACTCAGCATATTTGAAGAATCCAGAAGCTGGTCTTCAATATCTTAATGAGCTCTATCCTAAGCTTAAGAAGCACTACTACTGGTTCCGCAAAACTCAAGCCGGAGATTTGAAATCTTATGATCGTGATGCGTTTAGTTCCAAGGAAGGTTATAGATGGAGAGGTCGAACTCCACAACATATTCTTACTAGTGGTCTCGATGATTATCCTCGTCCTCAACCACCTCACCCGGGAGAGCTACATGTTGATTTGATGTCCTGGATGGGTATGATGACCAAATCTCTCAAGAACATTGCTGGTCTTCTCGGTATGGCAGATGATGTTGCCGAGTTAGCTACCATTGAAATAGCTATTCATCACAACATTGATGATTTACATTGGAGCGAAAAGGAAAAATGTTATTGCGATGCTACGATTGATGATTACGAAGAACATCAATTGGTTTGTCACAAGGGATATGTTTCTCTCTTTCCTTTCCTGACAGGTCTCATTGATAAGGATAGTGATAAATTGGGTCACATCCTTAACTTGTTGGGTGATGAAGAGGAATTGTGGAGTGAACATGGTATCAGATCTTTGAGTAAGAAAGATTCATTCTATGGAACAGATGAAAATTACTGGAGAGGTCCTATTTGGATGAATATGAATTTCTTGGCCGTTTCTCAATTACTCGTACGTTACCCCTTTCTGATGATTCCTTGGCCGAAAATGCTAATCCTTTCATAGAAATACGCAGAAATTCCTGGTCCCCACCAAGAAAAATCTAAAGATCTCTACACGAAACTTAGATTGAATCTTATCAAGACGGTCTATGATAGTTGGCAAGAAACAGGATTTGCGTGGGAACAATATAATCCTGAAACGGGAGTGGGACAGAGAACTCAACATTTCACTGGGTGGACAAGTTTGGTGGTTAAGATTATGGGGATGCCGGATTTGAGTGGAGGGGCTTTTGAGGCGGAGAAAGGGGGGAAGGTCAAGGATGAGTTGTGAGAGGTGGTGGGAGATGGATGAGTAGGGGATGGAAAGTTTGTAAAATAGAAGAGTAGTGGAAGTGGAGGAAATGAGAATGGGAATTAAAAGGATTGTGATGTGATGTGATATGATATGATTTGACATGGGATGAAGTGGTGTCATGTAATGCAGATGCATACTTATGGTGTTGTGTTGTATATGTTATATGTATGTATGTATCTATATATTTACAGATATAGTAGTATAGATATCTATCATCTTATATATCTAAGTAGGTAGGTAGGTAGATAGGTAGGTAGGTAGATAGATAGGTAGATAGATAGGTAGATAGATAGATAGGTAAATAGATAGATAGATAGGTAGGTAGATAGGTAGATAGATAGATAGATAGATAAATAGATAGATAGATAAATAAATAATTAATTAAAGGAAATATTTATTATTTAGATATCTAGGTGTTTAATCTAGATTCTAGATTCTAGATTCTAGAGTGGAGATTGGAGATTGAATTTTAAGGATTTTGAAGATTTTGAAAATGGAAAATGGAAAATGGAAAATGGAAAATGGGAATTGTGGAAATTGTTTTGAGTGTGTGAGTGTGTGATTGTGTGAGTATGTAAATATATGAATATGTAAGTATGTGAGTGTATGAGTGTATAAATGTATAAGTATATAAGTATGTGAATGTGTGAATATGTGAGTGTGTAAGTGTGTATATATATGAGTGTATGAATGTATGAGTATATGAGTGTGTGAGTGTATAAATATATAAGTATATAAGTATGTGAATATATGAATGTATAAGTGTATGAGTGTATGAGTGTATGAGTATATGAGTGTATGAGTGTATGAGTGTATGAGTGTATAAGTATATGAGTGTGTATGTATATAAAGATATAATAAGATTGGAGATTAGAGGATGAAGAGATGGGGATGGAAATAGGGATGGTGGTTTTGTAAAGGGGTTTGATGGGATGAATAAGCGAGTGTATATCTGGAATTAAGATATTTGGGGTTGAGATAGGATAGGATAGAGTGAGATGTATATTTTATGGTTGCATATATAATAATTGGGAGACATTTTAGAGATGATTAGGAAATCATTTTTTGGATGATGGATTCCTTTACTTGTTATTGGGATTGAGGGTTTGAGTATATATGTGTTGTTTGTATTTGCTTGTGTATGAATCTTGTGTATATATGTATATGTATATATGTATTGTATATTAGAAATTCTATTCTTTCTAACTTTATGACTTACCAGATGAGAATTAAATAAAAGTAGGATGAGAGGATGAGAGGATAAGGAGATAGGAGGGTTGGAATATGTGAGGATGGTGAGAAAGAATATATGGTAGATGTGTAAAGAGACGAGAATGATTTTTGGGAGGGATTTGAGGGATATGAGGAACTTGTTTGGTGGTTTTTGTTGGGGATGTGTGGAAGGTGAAGTTTAAAGTTTGAAGGTTGATTGATTGATTGATTGCTGCTGTGTATTTGAGTCTTGAGAGTATGTTACGGAGCTGGAGTGGACTGGATTGTGGTGTCAGGTAGAACTAGAGCTTGGGGAAGGAAAATGAGGGTATCGATATGTATATTGATTGGCAAGATTTATCGAAATAGCCGACAAACAGTAAGATGGAAGTGTTAGCAAGTCGATTACTATAGTCTCTTATTGAAATCGTATTCTACGATTCTAGTAAGTTTAGAGGACTTGAAAGTATGATTGCAAATTCCTATTATGAATTTTTATACAGAATGACTAGAAAGTTATCTCAGATACAGTTTAGTATTTACTCACTGTAGAGTGGGCTTTTTATAATATCATATACATGCACGTCGATTGCATTCTCTTTGAACTTGAACTGTCGTATGAGTATAGACTGTATAGTTGTCAAGTAATAATGAAAGGACAGATGGAAGGATTCTCGAAACACGTGGGCAACAGTAGAAGGCATAGTATGCGAAGATACGATCTTTGTAGAGATATCTAGGTAGCTTGTTGGTATCTATCAGTCAGTTGTTGTAACTTGTAATCTCTCTAAAGATTGCTGTAACTTGTAATCTCTCTAAAGATTGCTGTAACTTGTAATCTCTCTAAAGATTGCTGTAACTCTGGGAGAGAGATACTAGCCTGTACGCTAAGAAAAAAAGTGTTATTGGGCATATTTTCCGCATGAAATCAAGGACTTAAGAACTTTTACCATTCAATCAATACTGATCCATTGCATGATTACATTAACAGATGAAGCAGGAGGTATTTTCCGTAACAATTACAGTTCAATCCATTGACCCCCCGATCAGAGACAAACATACATCAGAATGTATAAACTCCACTAATTGGCATTGATTCCAACAGCTCATGCACACTGCTCATTCAGTAAGCTAATTTCAGACTCCTATTGAGAGGAAAGCTACAATCACGGGGAGAAATGCTCATAGCTTGCCTTGCGAGACGAAGATTCTTACCCCGCCTCCACTCAAATTGCGTGCATAAGAAGTAATTTAAAGGGCCAAATATATCTATTGCTGCGTTGCGTAGTTGAGAAATATATTATAGTACCAATAGGAAGAACGATACTTGCATCCGTACCACAACACCGGTACCGAGAATTTCCTACACCCAAATTAATAACGTGTTTCCAAAAAAATAAGCGATTTTTTCTACCTCATCAATTTTGAAATTTAACTTCAATTACTTCTAGACTTATCAATATATCTTCAAATTGAATAAACTCTTCAGAATAATGAATATCTCAATTAAAGGAATCGACAGATAGTTTTATAGATATATTGAATAAATGGTTATAGAGTTGGAAATGAATAGAATATAAATTCAATTTTGAGGTTGAAAATTAAGGTTAACGTGTTTCCAAGCTGTTTTCGAACTTTCGCCTCGAAATTTCCAATTCGATTAATAACAATTTGAAACAATCAAAAATTGTATAAAGAATACAGTTCATTATTCTCTATCATTTAATCAAATTTTCAATTGAATTGGACTACAATTGATAAAGATATTGTAGATTGAAATTGGAAAATCTAACGTTTAGGTGTTTTTGATGAAGCACTGAAATTTAAGGTTTTGGAAACACGTTATTAAATTGGGTGTAAAAGGGAAGGTGGCGTTCGGAAATCCCTGGCGCAGTTTCAGTGGCCTGACTAATTTCGCTTGAAATTTCACTTTTCTTTTGGAGCAAAGTTACAAAGGAATACATTTGTAGTTGGCTTGCTGATACGCTGCTCATCCAGAAACTGTGCGTAGAACTAACCATAGAGACATGTTCACACGATACTCGCAAGCAGATTACCAATTCTTTCTTGACATCCTCCAAGCCGAACCTTTCACCTAAAAATGTTTTGTTATAACCTATCATCCATGCATGACTGTCGAAAGATTCCCGCTAACCCATATGGGTAATTATGGTATGGTTACCCAGACCTAGCAAGCATACCCCAGGCCTCGAATCTATCCGGATGCAGAAGCATGCATGTGGTATCCTAGGGTATTGGATACTTCCAGCCCCGACATTCTAATCGCGCAGTGTCATTTGTTGATGCTAGACAAGAGCCATCTCATGTCTTAACCGCCCCAATCTTGTTAGACCACAAGAAATTCACAATACGCACTGCTACTACGGACCGAATAGTCAAGGCATGCTGTCCGTCAAATGTTGGATGAAAACTGCTCAGTGCACTCTCCAGGTTTCCAAAACGATGAAATGCATTTGCATTGCTAGATGCAATGGTAGAGTTACTTTCGGTAAGAGGATGAAGTCACAAGTCAAACAAATATTCTCGATAAGACCTACGATGCCTTGAGGTAGACGGATAGATGCTATCTATTTCTGCCACATTAAAATTCCAGGAATTTGCACAATTCCCCTTTCTATTCAAAATCAATAATCGAAATCAAAATGCTAGTTGAACCGAGATCAGCCACTGATGCACCGGCACCAGATGGAGACTATGTTGCTTGGGTGCAATGTGCAACGTGCAATGTGCAAGCTCATTTTCTCTATTCTTCCTGTCTTGGGGCCTCTGAGCTCATTTGGTAAATCTTGAGCACTGCACTATTCAAAATATCTTTACTGAAGCCTTTAGGTTCTTTTCAAGCATACTAAGAGACTGACTATCCTTCATGGACTCCGTCTCAGATCTCTTGGATTGGGTCTATTCAAGCATTTTTTCTCTTCGGATTCTCCATAGTTGCTGGTCCAGTCTTCGACCGTGGATATTTGAGGTCTCTTGTTTGGATAGGATGCTGTTTGTGCGTGCTAGCAATGATGTTGACCAGTATAAGCTCTGAATATTGGCATTTCATACTGGCTCACGGAGTCATGTTCGGCATAGACAGTGGTTGTTAATTTGTCCCCAGCATTGCTGTGCTTCCAGCTTATTTTGACAAGAAACAAGCATTAGCGTTGGGAGTTGCAGCTTCTGGTAGTGCTATAGGTACGTGTGAGAAATATAAAGGCCTTATATCCAACGTTGACGCGTATAATTCGCAGGAGGTGTTGTTTTTCCGATAATCTTCAACCAGTTGCAACCAAAAATTGGTTTTGGGTGGTCGATCCGCGTCATTGGTTTTATCATTCTTTTGGCCGCTACAATTCCTGTACCCGGAATGCGTGTGCGGACTCCTCCGTCTGCAATCAGAAAGATATTCGATACGAAAGCCTGGAAAGAACCGCCGTTCTTGGTTACTAGTATCTTTTTTTCTAGGGTTTATGGGCGCTTATATCCTGCCTTTCTATGTTCAATCATATGCTCTTGACACCAATATAGTGGGAGGTGACGTTGTCGTCGGATCTTTCTTTGAACGCATGGTATGCTTAAATTTATCTATATCCTTACCAATGCCTGGTTTCTAAAGAAATTATAGATCCCAACCCACTTCGCCGACATCTATGGTCCATTTAATATCGACATAATCTGTGTTCTCCTAAGTGGAATCTTAGCTTTCACCTGGATAACTCATCATACCACTGCTAGCATAATTTTATTCACTGTATCGTATGGCTTCTTTTCCGGCGGTTTGACGTCAAAATCTCCAAATCTCGGTGGTGCACTATCTCCAGATACGGGCGTTTCGGGTGTTCGCTTATAAATGCTCTTAATGCCAATATCTGTAGGCATATTGATCGGAAATCCAATTGCAGGCGCTCTGGAATCTTATGGGTGGATTTCTCTGCAGGTATTCACAGCCGCATTGTTGATGGCCTCTCTCGTGGTAGTTATCACTGCTAGAATCTTAATGTACGGTAAGAGCTTGACGATTAGATGCTGAATGATATAATACATCATGTTATAATCATGTCATAGCCAGATAAACTGCTGCCTTACTAGACACACAATCCCGAAGCAACGGTAGCATTTACTTTAAGGCTCCGTGACTAAACATCTAAAATTGGAAAGAATTGCATATTGAGGTCGCAATGACTGGCCTTTACGCCACATCACCGGTAAAAAGGAAAATAATACTCGGTAAAATACTTCTCGGAACGTTATCCAAAACCAAATGCGCCCGAGGGGAATGAATTTGCTACTTTCGTGTACGATTTTCGAATACGATACACAATTCAATCACGAAATTCATGAGATACATGAATACCCAAGATAGATAGGCAAAGCGCAGTGTACTAAGTGACTTGGATTGGAGCAAAAGTCATGCCATTCCTACATTGCATGATGGTTCACACCAGCATCTTCACTTCAAGTAATATGTCTATTCAGTGATAATATAACTTCAAAGCTCTTAGGTCGTAGCACACGTTTACTCGAACACTTGAACGGACCCAACCAAACACCACCTACATGAATTAATCTCCTGGCCCAGAGTCTCGGGTCAGGCTGAAGATTCCTCTTGGTTGACATGTGATAGATTAACTAGGCTTGAAAATTGGCATTTGGCTCATGTAAAATTTTGGATTGAAGAAGGCAAAGCGTCCTTATAGTGTCATTCTAGATTATGGAGAAGTGTTACATTGATTGTACCAGGACCTTCCAAATACATACGTATCCAAATACCCAGCAACTATTCCACGGCTAGAATGTTAAACACTAAGCCAAATAAATGTATGGCTGCAGACGAGTACACGCATTGTCTTTAATTTTACGTGCCGGATAACGGTCACATGCTCCAAGATATTTCCCAGCTGATATCATTTATCTAGAGCCTTGGAATTTATCCCAACTCTGGGATGCTGCCGATAAATTCGAATACATCAGCAAGGGTCAAAGCAAATTTCCCAGGGCACTACTTCACTAAAGTTAGAACGATCAGAGAGTTTGGCTGTTTGGATTTCTCGTAGGATCGCTATTTACTCCCAACTTCTAATGAAAGAAGTAATAATACAAGAAAGCAGATGGGTCATGAGTTTAAAATCTCGTTGAATTCAGGGGTCAAAAGTCATGGAGACCCTAAGAAATCTATCGAAGATTAAAAAAAAAGCCAATCTATCACCGGTGTATTCTTGGCCTTGCCAATGTAGTATTGTTCCATAGGTAGAATGCTGTCTCAAATGATCAATTCACGTCTTAAAGACATAATTTTCAGCACCTGCATCTGCAGATACACTACGCCACTATGCCACCAACGATTTCCCAACTATGATGGATAGCTTCAGTATCGAGTTGAAGATCCATAAGCTCACAGAATGCCGCTGTTTGGAGAAGTTCACCATACGAATGTAGCCACAAGTGTCGACTCTGCGAATACTACTCGCATATCTGAGGCATTGATACCAAATCGTTGTCAAATCTTTTATGAGTATAATTTATTGCTAGCGTCATCCTTACAGAACGAGAAATATCTTCGGTATCGACTTCGTAGAGGTGTAGTCAATCGAACATTGACTGGACAGAAGAATTAAAGAATCTTTTGCGCCTAGCTTTTCATCCTTACGCTTATGTGGGTATAGCTCAAGGGTCTGCGTCTATGGTAATGGCACTGTATGCAGTTGTTTTTGTTGATGACAAATATCCATTTGAAGAATGAAGAAATTGTTGGAGAGACATTTTATCCGATGCGATGATTGTCCTCAAATGTACCTTTGTGCTATAAGCGGCACTGACACCTTATCTCCACTAGGGTAGCTATCATCTGATTTCAAGAATACTACCTTAATGTTGGATGTTGGTGACTTGTTGGAGGTATAGTACATCAAGCTTCTGAAGCTTTGCTTAGATGGGATTGAATTTTAAGATTATACAATAGAACTAACGGACTTGAGTGCACCAAGTGGTTTAGAAAAACATTGCATTGCTGAAGTGTAGTATGATTCTATGATATAAAAGTCTCCCGCCGCCTCGAGAAGATCCATACCATTCACACAGCATTCACACACTCAATCATATTTCGGACGCTAAATTCATCTCTACAGATTCTATAGCAATTGACAAGCTTTGAAAATTTACTTCATTATGGACTGTATCTCGGTTAGTCCTAGCTCTGCTTGGTTTGAAGAATTCGACACTAATATACTCGTGCAATGACAGGGTATTCAACAATTGAGTAGCTCGGTAACTCATGACACTACGCTTGCCTCCTCCACATCTTCAGATCAACACTTGTCTTCCGATGCTCTCCTCTGGTGGAATGCTACAAGTGAAATCTTATGGAATTTGCTCGTGTCGGGAAAATACGACTTGCGGCAGCAGACTTCCGCCATGATGTTCTACCACACATACGTCGTTCCCAATCTCGGTCCATTTCCGATGGAGGCAAACCAGCCCCCTCAATGGAAAAGCTACATGACTGATGATTTCAGTCCTATTGAATTTAGCTGGAACTGGGGAAATGCACAAGGAGATGTTGACAGAAGAGTGCGCTTTAGTATTGAAGCTATTAACAAGAAATCTGGCACAATTACCGATCCATGGAATCAGAAAGCTACGATTGATCTTGTTAACCGCCTTGAACTCGATGTACCGGAGATAAACGTGCAATCGTTCCATCGTCTTCTTAAGGATTTCGCTCCCTCAAAGGACGTTCTTTCTGAAGATTATATATCTCGTTTCGACCCGCAACAACCCCGTTCAAGTTTATTCATGGCATTTGAGATGAAAGATAAGATGCCTGTTGTCAAGCTATACATGATGCCGTTTGCGAGAGCAATGGAAACATCTCGAGCTGAATCTGCTATTATTCTTGAATCTCTAGCCAGCTTCGCTCAGGAATTGGAATGGTCATCCCTCCAAAGTTTGGTTCGAGCTTTAGATCTGAAGAGCAAATCACTGGGACTTGACCAATTCATGATTGCCTTTGATTGCGTTTCGCCTCAAAAGTCACGCATGAAGATATATGCTAGGTGTCTAGATATAAGACTGGCAAGCGTCATGGAAATCATGAGCATATTTGAGGATAAGTCTAAAATTGCCAAAGGTCTAGAAGAGCTTCGAATGTTGTGGAATCTGTTTTTCAGTTGTGGTGAACAGGGTCAAGCCGGACATCTTCCCGACAAATCGCATATTACTTCAGGAATCCTCTACTATTTTGAGGTTCGTCCTAGTAATTCCAAAGTAACCACAAAAGTTTATCTCCCGGTAAAACATTACGCAAAGGATGATCTTTCTGTTGCTAAAGGGCTGCAAACATTCTTCAACAAACGCGGAGGTTCACAAGACCAGAGTGCAAGGGAGTTCATGGATGCTCTGGATCGAATGTACACTTACTATCGCCTTGAAGCTGCCACTGGGCTACAGAGGTACATTTCCTGCAAAATTGAGAATGACTCTTTGGAAGTTACCTCTTATTTGAGTCCCGAGATATACAATGAGGGGCGTTGGTCGCACAAAAAACCTACCATATAGGAAGGATTCGGGGGGAAACTTCTGTGTCAGTGTTTATTTCTTTAGTATTCCATTCACCTTTAATCAGTAAGAACGGTGATAGAAAACGAATTGGAAAGTTGAAGCCACTCTGGTGCATAATCAAAGATTGCTTCCCCACAAGCGAATCTTGAGAGAGATGACAGCTTCAAAAGGATCCAGCAATGAAAAATCCTTCATCTCATTAATCTATCATCTGTTCTGCATAGCTTAGAACCAAGATGAGCTTTGCCAGCGCATTATCTTTCACGGACGATACTTGCCATCCAATCTGAATATATCGAGTCCGAAGCCCATCCCTGGCTAATCTCTCGAGTTTCTAAATATCACATGTCAATCGACAAGAAGAAATAGCCATACGTTGTGCCTGGTACTGATATTACTAAATCTATATACTCTATTGCATGTTAAATAACATAAGTCTATACACTGTAACGGTGGTAATGATTGGATAGATCTTGATGATTTGATTCTTCTAGTTGGAATATGGATATTGTTACATTTATCGAGTTCGTTTCAGATGATAGGTGTGATATCATCCGATGTTGTTTCTGGTCTTGCGGACCTGATATACTGAAAGACAAGAGTACTGCAAATTGTTGTATTTGAACGAGAGTCCTAGCCTCTTTTTTCTTGCCTTTTGATGAAGCTATTTCTTTGTAAGATGATCTGAATGAGTTTCAACTTCAATCAATGTAGTATAAAGCTACAAGCTACAAGCTACAAGCTACAAGCCACTTGTTCTTTATTCTATAGCTACAACAATGGATGAGCTCAGCAGTTTTGAGCAAAAGGAGTCCCAGATTGAAGAAGCCTAGTATGTACCTGGGAAACAGTAGCCTTGGTAGAGATGGAAGTCTTTGATAGAATATACATATGTGCCAACGTAAACAACATAGTAAATATCAATGGAGAAGTTGAACATATAGGCAATACAAGACAACCGTATAAAGTATACAATAGCCAGTGAATGAATCGATAGACAGATACCTAAGTACTTGATATATCCAATGACTTGCTCTGTGAAGCTTTGTATGAAGCAATTCTCATCTTTGTGTAGCTTTTATGAATTATATCAAACTGCCTGACTATCCAAAATGCACGAAGTTACACCATGGAGACGGCTTTGAAGTACAGCAAACAATGCACAAACAGTATCTTCAAAAACGAAAAATGTTGAATTCGGAACTGGCCGAATCAGATGACACCAAAGAAAGTTCATTGATTCAAGGTATAATTGCTTCGGTTATTAATCTTTAGGTTTGGACGTCGTTTAAACAATAACTAGAGAAATAACCACTCGGACTCCTCCGACCTCGCAATCCTCAAAAACTCCTCCTTTGCGCTTTCTCACATTATAACTATGGGCAGAACAAAATCAATACCTATCGATACTAGGAATTTGAATGGTATAAATGAGGCTCAAATAATTTCTTCCACAAACTTCATCGGTACTAATGCTCAGGAGGATCGCGCGATCAGATGCATAAGAGAGGCTCCATTTGTCACCTTCAGCGACAGCGGAACCATAAATGACATCTACGAAGTTCACAGAAAAGCTCAGGCTAGCGACCGTATCAATTTCAGGACGAAATGGACTTCACAAGCCTTACTTCGAGATGAGGAGAGCTGGATTGCCCATCAGTATGCAGATGGGGTTCCTGGAAACAAACAAATGACAAAAGACATCGCTCAAAAAGATGGAGTTCGCGCACAACAAGAAGGAGTCATCCGAAAATACGTCGAGCCAAGTAATGAATTCCTACCGCGCCCTAATCGCATTACGGATAAGATACGACGTCGCCCAAAGCAACTAGAGCTTCCGCCAGTCGTTGATGGTATCAATTGGCTTGCGGATCGGCTGAAAGAGAGGACAGTCAACGAGCAGACAGCCTTTCTAAGTCACTGGCAGAATGATTCCTACCGATGCGCCGAGTCAAGAGGCAGAGTCAGAAATCTTTCGACAGAGTATGCATCTGAGGCGCCTATGGAAGATCTCGAGGACGATGAACCATACTCTTCGGGAAGTGACTATCAATTGACATCTTCTCCAAAGCAGCGCACGCCTGCAATATCACCTCGAGCTTGTATCAATTGCTATGAGCGGCACCATGGGTGTGACAAAAGTTTGCCTAGTTGCTCTACCTGCAGCGCAATTCATGCATACTGCGTCTATCCCAACGTAAGTCCCCCAGGTTAAATCATCGTGATTTGACAGCTGATATGTTCTTTGAAGGTTACTACTAGAGTATCTCCAAAGAAGCGAAAGAAGTGGTAGTTGGATATGTTTGTATGGGTGACAAGCATCAAATTGGTTTCGTTAGCTAAAGGGATCTTCTGGGGCGGCTAGATTGGCTGTAATATGTGGTGATATCAGATGATCATGGTGAAGGGAGGAGCGGTGGAAAAGTCATATCGTGCATAGTCTTAAGCAAAAGTTCTCGTCTCCGAAGAGAACAAACAGCTTATACGATATTCAGCGTATCGAGTACTTCACGAGTAGCTACTCACAAAGGAGGAACATGTCCAGTAGCGTGCACATATGGTAGTGAAATCTGAAGTAAATCATTCAACCTCATTATATCATTGCACTCCAGCTAGTCATACGAAGACCAGATCTTTTACCCCCTGGGGAGTAAGAAGCTCGTCTAATCTGTGAATTGAAGTGCATCACAAGTGAGATTGCCAATTAGGTGAATAGACCACTCGCGATGTCATGAACCTTGAACATTGATTGGACTTCGAAATATTCATGTACATATATACAATCGCTGTGTTGATATCCAAAGTAATGAGGTTGAGTGACTTGGAGTGAAGTTAAGAATCTAGCCTCGGGATGTGCCGCTGCTGGGGGACCTTGAATCATTTACCAATCATGCAAAATAGTCACCGTATAACAGGGGATCTGGTATCCTCGTCGTCTCAAAGTAAAGAGATAGCTTTAACACAAATTCATTATTCGTCATATTTTACTGTTCTCTGGTCCTAAAAATTCTCGGACATTTAATATATTATTTCTAACAGTCATGAATCTCAGCTCAAGCCGGTAGTAACATCATCATATCACGAATTCGAGCTCTACCTAGCTAGGCGCATCGCATCCAAATGTTCTCACAATGCTCGATCAGCTGTCGCCCGTTGCTCCTGCGAGAGTACGAGTTGTGCTGTTACCGATTGGGCAAATCAAACGCGCAAGATTTCTGAGCTTCGTAGAAAGATTGCAACCTCAGAATGTTGTACGTTTGGGGGATATCAGTCCAGATGGACGTCCCAATAGAAGTGAGAATTAAACTCTCCTTGATGCGCATTTGGCAGCGCTGACAATTGGCAGATATGTTCTCCCCATTAGCCTTTCCTTTGGGGATGATTGTTTATGATCTCACGACACATTATCCACCCTCTACCCACCTCGCGTTATCTCCCTTTGAATTATACAGAGAGCCACTCGTTATTATAGCACTCGCGGATGGTGCCGAACTTGAGCATACATCTTATAAAGGGGTTCCGAGGAAGAGTCCCAATGGCACTGGAGTATCGCGGTTAGATCAAAATGTGCGGAACTTATACCAAGATTTGGAAGATTTGAGAGATAGATACCCCAAGGCGCTGGTCCACCAAGTATTATTGTTCGACCATATACATGAGAAGTCTGCTACAGCCTTGCCAGAAGGCCTAGTGGCTATACCACCAGCTGCCGACTGCAGTTTAACGACAATGAAGACTGTTATGTGCGACATATCTGCCTTGTTGCTTGCGGAGATGACGACACTCGCAAGGTCACTCCAAGCCTTACCTACAATCGAGTCACCAGCCCAATCAGGAAATAGGCCGTTCAATGGAGGATCTTGGGGCGGAGGCTCACCCGATGGATCCTCAAGACGGAACTCTCAATTTGCAGTCCCTCAAAAAGACTCCAGATCTTCTTCTCCCGCCAGCGCCGTTGATCGTGCGAACTATCGAATGTCGATGCCAGTCATTCGATCGGCACCCTCGGATTCTGGCACATCTTCACCACTAGGTCGCTCTGGAAGTCCTGCAACCGGACTCCGCTCTGACTCGCCACCAACCTTTGATAACATAATTGGGGATACTGGGCTTACAACGCAAAAACTACCTTCTCGACTCGGCACTCCGAGTAGCAAAGGGGTCAGAGATAGTAGCAGGGACAGAGTGTCGATAATAGGATTCGGATCAGGAAGCACTAGTGAAAGGTCAAGAAACAAAGGGAAAAGTCGTGTTGGTATTGTCATTGGTTCGATGTATATGTGCGCAGGGCGGTGGAGTGATGCATTACGCGAGCTTGTCGAAAGTGCCGCTATTGCGAAAGCAAATCTTGATCATTTATGGCATGCAAAGGCACTCGACAACATTCTTGTGAGTATGCTCATGCTCGCCTGGACTGGCTTGGACTTTCAAATTCCCCAAATCTGCTATGTATCTGCAGAAAAAGCTCCTTCCTTAACGTCGGCTCTGGAGCCAAGAAGTCCCGCAAGCAGCCGTTTAGTCTCGCTACAAAATCTGGCTATTCTGCTTCCAGAGCTGTTGGATAGAATCTTAAATCTCTATACTCGTGCTGCGAATAATAATGGGGAGGCTATGCCACAACATCCATTTTCCGAAACTGTCATTCGCTATGCAAAACTTTCTTCAGCTATACACACAGGCGGTGGTCAATTGAATGATGAAGTTTTACAATTAGTTGTTCTCGGAACCCCATTTCAAAAAGCCCCCAATCTCGCAACGCCTCGTTTGAACATACAGCCCACCCGTGGGGAAATTCTCAAAACCATACTCAGAGCATTTCCTGTGTATTCATCCTCTGAAAATATTGTTGTTGTGGATCGAATAATAATATTGAGCGGTATAGCTTCAGTTCTAGGATCAATGGGGTATAATAGGAAAAAGGCAATGGTAATCCGTGAATTAGTTTCGGTGTTAATTCCAGCCCTCGTCCAAGCTCGTCTCAGAGGAGCAGCCGAAATGGGAGTTCATCCAGCTGCAGGATTGGCAGCTCTAAGTGCGAACGGAAACACTAACGGTGCTGGAGCTCTTGAACTTGGTGAAGGTGACATGGAGAACGGTGTAGACTCGTTTCTCTCGTTACTAGGCCAAACTTATGGAGTTGTAGCCTCTAGAGCTACTGCTGAAGAAGCCTTCGATGATTCAGATGAAGCAACTATTCTTAGGATACTTGACGATTCTTCGATCCGCTCTTTCGGGAGCCAAGCTTTGAAAATGGAGGTTCTGAGATCTTGTATCAATCTTTCTGAAGCATTGCCGGATTTTCAAGGCGTTCTGAAGTTCACTGCAGATTTATTAAGAACTGCCGGTAGTGGTGTAGCGCCGGGCCCACGGAGTGAAGATGCATCCCCCAATATGAGTCGCGAGGAACAGATTCGATTAATGACTAATATTACTCGCACGCTGGGAGCTGCTAGGAATTTGGGGGTTCATGAACTTTCCGCAGAGTATTGGGATGAATTTCTGGTTCGAGGTGTTGAGCTTGAGCCTCTACCTCAATCGAGAACCCCAATTCCCCATACACGCGGAGAACTCCCTGATGGAGAGAATATAGCTACAGCGAGAGAGATAAATCCTTTCATATACAATCCTTTCTTGCGCCCACTGAATGCCTCCATTGTTGATCATATCATGGTTGCTGGTGAGGGAGCTGCTTTTAAGGTTACTTTGCAAAACCCATATGAGTTCGATGTGGAAATAGAAAGTATCAAACTCGATGCTGATGGGGCGGGCTTTGAATCTGCCGTACAAAAGACTGTTATCGGACCTTACAGAACACAAATTCTCACCATATTAGGGACACCTAAAGACCCAGGGTCCCTTAAAATCACCGGATGCATTATAAAAGTGAGAGGATGCCGAGAACGGCGATTCCCTATATTTTCGGATTCCTGGTCACCACAAGGCGATGTCAAAATTAAGTCTATTGGCGTGGCAAAGATATTCGGGCAGAAGCCTCGCCCTACAAGCTTTGGCTCTACATCATCAAGTGCAGTACCTTGGGGCGTCATACCTCCTCTGCCAACTACCGTGGGATTGAATGTCATTGACAAACAACCTATAGTCGCAATAAAGTCTACTAATTTATCACAATCTGCTTTGATGGTATTAGAAGGAGAACGCCAAAAGTTCTCTATTACTTTAGAAAACCTTTCAAAGGAGACACCCGTAGATTTACTATTATTTTCCTTCAAAGATTCTACTCAGGCGCCACTACAAACAGCAATGAGTAATCGTGAAGCATCACCAGCAGAGCTATATGAGTACGAATTAATCCTGGCACGCAAACAAGCACTTCGATATATTCCAAATCCTGACCAGAAGCCATACATCGAACCTGGTGGAAAGGCCACTTTTGAATTAGAAATACTGGGAAAACCTGGTTTAACAAGTGCTACTGTTCATGTGGACTATGCTCATCTTGGTGTCCCTCAGTCAGAGGTTGAAGATGGTTTCCATACTCGTCAAGTGAGCCTACCACTTACGATAACCGTAAATGCAAGCATAGAGCTGGCACGAATGGATGTTATGCCATTTACTGGGAACTTGCCCCTATCTTTGTGGTCTAAAATTGATGGTACTGTTGCAGCTGAGGATTTTACACCGCAAGATCATTGTTTACTAATTCTTGATCTTCGAAATGCTTGGCCAAGCAGTATCCATGTCTCGATCGATATTGAGAAAGGAGGCAAGATTGAAGAAGAAGTGGTCCCGGGTAATACGTCCCGCATCATGTTTCCTATTCCTCGGATATATTTGGAAAACCCAACTGCCTCTATCCCAGCTCTTGATCCCTCGCGACAACGGCAGTTCGTCGTAAGCGCAGGCCGAATATCCGCAGATTCAGAACGAGCTACTCGGGAAGCATTCTGGTACCGTGAAGAAATTCTTAAAATTCTGAAAGGGACCTGGGAGACGCGGTCTGGCGTCCGTCGCAAAGGAAATATAGAGTTACGCGGTCTTCGTCTCAGCCAACGTGTTATCGACGCTATCAGAATTGAGGATATTTCAATTGATATCTTAATCAATGATAAGTCGGGTCCAAAACACGACGTTCATACCGATACATTCTCTTCGATTACTGTTCGCATCAGCAATCGATCGTCTAACCCCATCCATCCACTTCTACGTCTTCAACCATCTATTCGTAATCATTCACTCACTCAAACTCTCGATCTATCCAAGAAATTTGTTTGGAACGGTGTGCTGCAACAGACTCTCCCACAAGTTCCTGGGAACGAACAAATCGAAGTTAATATCGGCATGACGCCGCTTTGTAGAGGCGAGTTCGAACTCAGTGCTTCAGTCGAAGAAGTGAGATTAGTTGAGGTTCCGAAAGAGGAAGTCACAGTTAAAGAAGGTGGGAGAGCCAGAGCTGACACGAAGAATCTGATGGATGCGATGCTGGGGGCTAAGGAGAGGAGGATCTGGCATTCGAGAGAACCTTGCTTGCTTGTTGTGAGGGATGAGGATGATACGGAAGATGAGGAAGAAGAAGATGCTGATGATCAAGATAAAGTTGATGATAAAGTTGAAAGTGCTCAAGATGATTAGAGAAATAACTAAAGAGCAAAGGAGTCTAATTGTATTATCGTACGAATGTTTGTACCTAGATTTGCTGTGTATAAGGTTAAGCGTGCATTTGGAATCGGAATTTTAGCGGAAAGGAGATGAAAATAGGGGATAGATGCAGTGATGAGAATTCAATGGAGGTTGGCTTTTTGAATACCCACCTGGGTAGGCATGGCATGGCGAGGGCTGGGATATAGAAGGAGAGATACAATGAATGCTGGAGGGGTGAGGGGTAAAGAGAAAAGAGAACAGGGAAAAGGGAATAATATAGATAGGATGAGCATGAGCATGAAATACCTTGAATGATGTTTTATGATTCATTTTTACTTTTACTATGATTTTGATGTGAATTTCCGTTCTCGAAATGCTTCCCAAGAGTTCGGGCGACTTTCACCCACCTACCCACGGGAGGGGCACTGTCTCTTAAATCGATGAATTCTTCATTTGCGATGATATACTCAACTTATTAGATTCACATGAGAAATACCTGTTATTGATATGTCAAGTAAGATTAACTTATGGTTTCATATAAAGAAGAAATTCAGCAGCACAAAAAAGAATACAACGTTTCATTACTCGAGGAGTGTTCGATCTTATAACATGTTCATAACATGAAATCTCTATTTTTATAACTATCCTTGTCAACGAAGACATGTTCTAGATTCTAGTCGTAGCCAAAGCCATCTAATCTAATGCGGCATGCAATAAAGCAATGATACAACAATTTCCGACCCTCCCATTTTATAGCACCAGAAAATCATGTAGAGCTATATACACAAAATTAAGCTTATTGTCGACAAGTAGTTCCTCAATATAATCATCTAGTTCCGACCCTCTAGATAGCCCCATGTTGTGTGACACTTCCCTGACTTCTAAGACCGCCCCTGGTAGGTTCTTCCGGCGCCTTGAAATTACCCTCTACCAAACTCTTAAGCTTGTTTGCCATAAGTTGATATTTCTCCTTCGGCTCATAATCGACTGCAGGTACAAAGTCGGCAAAGCCGGTTCGGAATTCTAATTTTCTCACATTCTTCAGATGTTTCAAAGGTTTGAACATGCCGCAATCCATGAATATTTCCGTGGCGTTCATATTAGCCTTGAGATCCGCCTTGCTTTGTTTGTCCTCCATTTCATCCAATGCATCTTCATCATCTGAATCAATCGATTCGGCATATAAACGTGTCTCGGCCGTGACTTCGACAAGTAGATTGATGGTGAGCTTATTGACGACTGGGGATTTAGATAAGATCTTGACAAAGTCCTTGACGAAGGTCAAACTGCTTACGCATCTGCGAAATCTAGTTTCATCTTCAGAATCAAATTTCCCAGTCTCGATGTCCAAAAATAATGGGACGTTCTCGGTATGATCTTCTTCCAGTGCACAATCGAAGATAATCTTTTGAAATTTTGCGAATATGTGAGGCTCCATACATCCACCCAAGTCCTCTTGATCGTATTGTATGGTGCCATTTGGCAGTTTTTTCGCGACAGATGTGAGAGGATTGTGCCTCCATGGATTCATACCATACATGGTACCCAATTTATAAATCTTGTCGTTGAAAAAGAGAAGGTCGTTACAACAGATGACGACGGTGGCTTCAGTGTAGAACATGGAAGAGGCCTCTTCGTATATTTGTTTGTTAACCCGCAAGATCTCAGGCCACATGCGGTATTTTGCTACGAAGTCGCTTCCATCGGAGCTTGTAGAGTCTGTTTCCCACTTCCCTCCGTACTTTGTTCTTATGGCCGTTCCTCCATCTTCTAAGTTCACCACTTCAACATCGTCAGGTGTAGGTATTGCCGGGTCGACTTCACTGAGAATGGACTCCGCTTCGGGATTCGACGGGAACTCTGGATCATCATTTGTTTCGATCGTACCTTGTTGCTCCGCCATTGACCACAATAAAGTTCCCAACTCATCGATACCCCCGGGTCCATCATACTCTATCTCCATGTCTGAATTATCGCCATCGAATGAGATCGTATCTTCGTCGGTCCAACCATCCGATGATGAACTACCGCCAGAACTTAAATTATCACCCCCTCGCCTGACAAAAACCCATCTCACGGGAAGAATCAGATATCGATATATCTCTAGTCGAATTTCTACAATTCTTATTAGTCAACGCATAAGAGATAAGCATGCCGAGATACTACCTTTCGGAAGAGAGAGAAGCATAGATTGCATATCTGGTGTTGGAATTGCTGCAGGATGATTTGCATAAAGTTGAACCTCTGGTGGTGGTGGCCTCGGACTTCTGTCTTGTCGAACGTAACGGTTAAACTCTTCTTTCTGATCACTAGATGATTTGCCGATTTCAGCTTGAGGATCATCGGAATCGTTGTTGGCCATTTTCGAGCACTAGAATGATGTTTGACTGTAAAAAATTTGAAGCTTGTGGATTGGAGATTGAAAATGATTTATGACCTCAATGAAATTCTAGATTATCGCGGGGTACTTTAAACTAACCCGATTAGGCAGCGCGTCAAAACAAGTACCTAGTTATGGCGCGTCATACGGACATTTTTGCTCAGAACGATATCAGATAATAGTAATTAGATTTCTTAATATATTTAATCTATACTTTCATCTAATAATTTTCAAATATATTATTTTAAAATAAATCTAAATTTAAAATCTAAATTATTAAAAAAGTAAATTAAAAAGAAAATAGATTTTAAAAAAAGATTAAATAATAATATAAAATCTATCAAATCAATTTTTTATGAGATAATATATATCAAATTGATTTTAAAATTAAATAATATTATATTAAATAAAAGAAATCGTTCTGAGTAAAAATGTCCGCATGACGCGCCATACTGTGAGGGCGCACGTACCCTCTGGGCACGTGACCGGCTATACTAGCCGTTTTAGCTAGCTCTTTCAGTATAAGTTGGAAGCTTCGCTTCCAACTTCCTTTCTAGTCTTCATCAATAACTACACTATTCAATGATAACTCCTCTTTCGTTTCCGAACCCTTCACACATACCTAGGTAGTTGTAGATAGACGAAGGGGGAAATGGAAGTGCCGCTTAGGGGTCGGGAGTTGAGAGGTATTTTTCATGAGAGCCGTGATAAATATCTCTGCTTTGAATCTAATTGAGCTGTCACCGTGGTAGTCTGCAGTTAAGACTTGTATTATAGAATTAGTTAAGAAAGGAGATGTAGATTCTCGATGATAGTTGCCAATCCCATGGAGAATCGCATACTCTCTCATTTTATCCTAAGCCCATACGCCCAGTATGGAACACATCTTGGTTGTCATTTCATACATCAGCTTAACATGTACAGCCAGTACGAATTCACATTTGTTCTCATGCTTTTGAAGGAACAATGAAGTCATTGTGTTGAATGATATGTCATGGACATGATCCCATCTCGTGACCCCTTTTCTGGAGAATGAAAATGAATGATATGTTGATCTGGACACTCAATGTTGAGTTCGAGGACAACATTGATTTGCTAAGATGATAAGTCTGATGATTTCAGATATACCGTGATATTCGATTTGCCATGGCAAACTTCTTACCACATGCATATCAAACATGAAATCGATTAGACATGATTCCGCAAATCCACTCAACACCATTATTTCAAAACGTGCTATCTACCATTACCGTCGACCTAAAAAGAAAAAGAAGAAATCACCCTCATCATTTCAATCTTCCTCATCAGCTTCCGTCCAGATACCTCCCTCGACTACCCCAAACTCTTTACCTAACCTCCCATGCACAAGCCTTACCCTCGGACAACACCAATCCGGTTTCTCTCTTCTCATCTCCTTTAACTCCTTCATGATAGTACTCAAGTAATGTCCTTCTGGCTGCCAAGAATTCAGATCCTCTCCTAGAGCTTCCAATTCCAATTCCTGTAACCCCCTCATCTTTGATATTGCTTCCAAATTGTAATGACCAAAATATGCCCCGTCCGAAACCACCAGCTCCATTTTTCTGATCCCGTCGCGCTCTTCTCCATCTAGGTAAGGAATAATCCCATCGGCAAGTTTTATGATATCGGTGGTAAAGTTTATGTAGATGTAGGATGGGGAATGCTGTGTACGGAAGAGGGGTTTATAGTGAGCGAGGGCTTCGGCGCGAGTTTCTTGGCAGATGTGTAGGAGCAAAGGGACGGGAGTTGGTGATTTAAAAGACTTTAGGTAGCGGCGGCGGGATGGGATGATATTGGCCTTTTCGCAATTTATTTGGACGGTGCGGGTTTCATTGAGGAGCATGCCATAGATCTTGAGACGAAGTTCATAGGGAAGAGAGGAGAAGAATTGGAATTCAGTTAAGGGAGATGTTGCCATTGCGGCGATGCTTTGGTGTCAAATTCGAATTTCGAAAGAAATCAATCGTAATTGAATGTATGGTTTTCCTTTTTGTTATTCCATATGAGAGCTTTAAGCAAGTTGTAGTTGGAGTACATCTGAGCTCGTGGATCCCCTCACGGATGGGTATCGGATAGGTACACCCCGGGTGTACCCAGTTATTTTGGTGGCTCGGGTGGATATTTCGAACATCGGATATTTCGGATATTTTGAGTATCCGACGGATCTCCTACATCCATATCTAGTTTATTACTTCTTTTAGTCAATATTTATCAATATACGAGTAGACAATCGCAAAATATCATATTCATGTATTCATATGTTAATTGTGAGATTAATGTATTGATAGTAAGAAGGTATGGTTTCTCTAAAGAGATATTGATATCTAACTATGACTTGTTTTGCATTTTGGCACTGATAATGAAGAGAGGTCTGGGGATGTAAGCGCGAAGACTCATCATTGGTCCTTCTAAACACACTGAAAACATCCTTCATTCTCTTCTTCACTGTTGTTCATTCTATCCTTTACCTTTCACTTCCCATCGAAGCTACATGCTCAAATGTGGCCGTTTCGAAAGGACTTCCGGCACTTGATGTTATAGCCGAGTGCTTCTACGTTTACCCAGGGGTAAGAAATGATGCTAGGTCTCATGAAAGGGTCGCATCGCACAAGGTGGCTAAAATAAACATCAAATGAAACTATTTCCCATCACAATGTTACCTGGCTAAGATGGCATGCATTCAGCGCTCGGGGACATGCAAAGATCACAGGCATCATTGCGAGGATGGTACCACATTATGCAACCTAAATACGTAGCGGTGGTTGTCCTTAACCAGACTATCGGGCCACCTCCAACGTCTAGTCTAGAGCTCCTTCAAAGTTGCAGGGGTTATTCTCAGCTCACTCATTTTCCTTATAGATTCAATCTGATTGTTCCGCGGGTTGTTCTTTATGCTTCCAATAGGTACTATATAAATGGTTAAAATTGTAAGTATAATGTGGACAAGACCAAAATATCCAGCCGAGCATAATTTCCAGCCTCACAGCCTTGTCTAGAGACTTCCGACAACTAATTCTCTATGTACGTAAGTAAGTCCTCTCACATCATTCAATTTGTATAGCATGGACGATAACTATAGAAAACTAATTACACTCAGTGCAGATCTCTCAATGTTAAACTCGGGGCCTAGACCTCGATCGCCATTTTCCACTCGGGTCCCCAACTCCCAATTTTTTTGTAGAAACTCCTATAAGATGGAACGCTTTCGACAATAATCAATCGATATGTTTTGCACACACGCAGAACTAGATATAGCTAGCTGAGCATACGACGTTTTCTGAGCAATGGTTCGTCAATACCGAAGGCATGTTCTAGTTTTGAGCCGTTCCAGCCGAGGAAGCTCCCCGCATATTAGACGATTTCGTGAGCAAATACGGTGTATCAAGGCGGACTATAAGTAACTTCCTCATCTCTCCAATCTCTCCAAAGAAGAGTTATCAGCTAGATGCATAGGGCGACTCAAAATCTCGAAAATCTTCAATCGTCAGTCTACCGGGTACTGGCATGCCAAGAATATGGGGACGAATAATACAAAGTTGTCCGAGATGTCCAGAGCTCAACTCCACAATCCATAATCCGACTCATAAATGACTTGGGCGGCACTTTTGTCACTATTTGAAGGATATCTTGGGTCATCTAACCTTCTAGGTTGTTTGATAATACTTTCGAAATTCCCGTCGATTGGTTAGTCGAGGCTATTTGGAATATTTCGATTATCTGTATCTGGGATGGTTTCATTTGTCAAACATACTCGATTTCCGCAAGACTCGAAAACTAGATCCCAACATCTGATCACATCCAGTACTTCGGAGTCACTGAAATGGAGGTTGCGCAGTCGAAGGATCCATGTTCAAGTCGAGGAGAGGGACGAAAGACGGATGCGTGTCCTGGAGTTATTCCCTTCGAGTACTAGTCATGAGCCCAAATCAATTGCACACTCTACAGCGAGAGAGAAGTTTAACGATCAGCCTATGCCTAACAGTACAATTGTTCACATCACATTGACAACAAATCATGGAAATCTGGTGAGTTCATTATTAGGAAGAGTTGCTATCGACGCTGCAGATCATTCAAGTATTGAGCCACAATGGACAGACAAATATGGTGGAAGAGTATGCATCTGTTCGTGAAGCTACTTTTTACAAAGGTGCCAAAGCGGACCCAAAGATGATGCGATTTCGGGCAATGCCGATGGGTCAGATAAAGACGTTTTTGCAGCAGAAGCTTACATCGGTATCACTACACTTCTAGAAGCTTTATGAGCGTCGAAGCTGCTGATTTTACCTAAGGTCAAGGTGGGTGCACTATCTGAAGCTTCATATGCTTGAAAAGCCTCACTATACTGGTCAGATTCAGTCAGAGGTGCATATGTAAGTGTACCGAATAGTTGTCATGAATCCGTCACAACTTACAGCCTGCGAGTCTGTTTCCACAATTTACAACCCCGGAACTCTGTGCGTGCTACCTTGGTGCTAGAGCCATCGAAATTACAAGAAGTATTTGGATTGACACAACGATTACTTGATAGTGAGTCGTCACTCGGCACTATACCTGCGATGATGATGTTACTTAGTAAATCCGCCGGCAAAATCTCTATGCAACTCCAGGCGATGACGCCCGACACATTCAAGCACCCCGCATTACATTAGTAGTTCTGCAAACTAGGGCTTAGATGATTACCAATAATTCTTGATTGGAAATCATATCAACAAGCCTTTTCTATCCCCAGCTTATACTAAAAGTAGGCCAGCGATACTAAGATTATCTAGTGTATTAAGACTTAGTTCGCTATACTTTAGCCTAGTAGGCCCGCGCCGATCCACTTTTTTACACCAACGGTGTTTCTGGCCACCCACCGCTGGGACTCTGACTTGACACTGCTCCTTTAACTTCGGTTGGGCATGACAGTTTTAGCCTATTCTCTTGTCTTATTTCTTACAATCTTATTTGTTCCTCTTCGTCGGCATTCGCTCTTCAAGTCATCCTTCGACCCTATTTCGGTCATGAACGGGAGGATCCTCTTTTACTCCATGTTGCAGATAAAACTATGCGCAGTCAATAGGTTATAAGCTGTCCGCAAGCCAGTCTTTCCTCAAGGGCAAAAGGTGCATCATGACCTGGGTTTCATAGGGCACAATAGCAATCTAGTTCTTAGCCTTCTTAAGTCGTATTTCAACTTTAGCACAGCTGGAAAATAAAGACCTTTTCCATATCAGTACACTATTAGTACCTTTCTTTATATAACTTCCTATTTTGGTCTTCTAGCCAAGAAGTGGAGGTCGATCACGTGTAGAAACCATATGTGCATGCATATGCAGCTTATGCAGACGTCGTTGGCCCCACACCGCCTCCCTCCTTTCAATCCCACCAAACAGGACGCTGGGTTGGATCCACGGCCAGCATGCTGGGCCGATTCGATTTGAATACATCTTTATCCCACCGTATGCGGTGCTGCAGATTGTTGACCGTCACCTACCTCCTCTCATTATCCCCTCGTTTGAACAGTCGCCATTGCCAAGTCAAGTTCCGCAACTTCCACTTACTATCTCCACTTCAAAGAAACAGCGGGGCAGTGGGGGTAGTCTGAGAGTTGGAGTAACATTAAGAATGATGGGGGCGAAAGCGATAAACTTTAGTTCACTCTTGGGCAGGACATAGGGATGGTAACGAAAGAGTTTCACGTGAAAACAAAATAGGTAACGATGCGACAAAATGGAGCTCCCACTAATTCACAAGAAAATAGCCCAAGTTGCAGAGCAGTCAAATATCCAGGGAGCAACGAAGATGACAGTCACTTTGAGACATTCACGTTTATCCCTCCCGCTCATCCATTAATCCAAATAATGCCGAGGCGTACTGCGGGAAGCACAGAAGCTTAATTTTGTTCAATCTCTTGTCTGTTGATCTGACGCAAACGCTCCTTCCGATTGGTAGCCAATGGCGGGCCAAGCCAATTGAGTGGGTTTTCTCGGTTGATACTAAGGGAATCCTTCTCCTTAGCGATAACGTTAATTCGTGAATAGACCTTTGAACGCCACCTGCATCATTTTTGCAGTACTATTCTCACAATCACAGGCGTTGGCATTTTTGGAAGAAGGGTTGTTGTGTCTGTTGGATGAATTTTACTGTTGTAGTTGGTTTAATAAGGGTTGATTAGATAGAAATATAGAATTAGAATAGAAATGAAAATTCTAAGAATTTCCAGGTTGCTAAGGTCTGGCTTAGTTAGTACGTGATGACAGCGTCGCTAATGGCACTTTTGATACCGATACTTGAACTCAATCTCACCGGCGGGAAAACGAACCATGCTGATATAAAAAACTCTAGAAACTCTTTCCTACTGCGCCTGTGAAATCATTATGTCTGTCTGTCACACAATCGGCTAATCATGGAAAGTGGGATACGACGGTTGAAGAAGCGCCAGTGATTGCCTCAGGCAACTCTACTAGCTCAAGCTGCAATCCATGGATTCCAATCCTCTTGGCCGTATCACTGCAGCGACCCTTGAAAAGGCTTGATTACGGAAAATCACGCAGCCAAGAAAAGGAGACGCAGAGAAACTCAATTTGGCATGTCGTCGAAGAACGATTGGAACATGAAGATGTCATATCGCGCGTTATAGATTGAAAACTCGAGTTGATTTACAACCATACGACTAGTAGTGGTTCGAGAGTGGTTTGATTTGCAGCTGACGTGTGCTTATATTGGTGATCATTTTTCACGTAAGACGCAATGATGTTTGCAGAAAGTTATAGTGTCGGCTTGTGTTACGGGTGGTGTCGTTTAGAGCCCCGTTAAACTATCGCTATCTGAGTTAATTGCATTGTGCGGGTTTCAAGGTTAATTCGACTTCCAAAATATTGCAGGTGGGAGGGAGAGCGTTATTCACACATGAATTCTTGTGATAGGTCGATCTTTGGTTGTGCTACGAAGCGAGAGAACATCTGAGTAATCTGCTTAGGGAGAACTAGCTGTCGCTGGCAGTGCTGACACGAAGTGAAGTCAAAACCCTTGACCAATGGCATTTGTCAGTTAAGCTTACATGGGAATAGCGCTAGATCTTTCCCTTTTGCCTACAATAAAGCTAGAGTCACTATATCATATCTTTATATCTATTTGAAGAGAATCTACCAAAGCCAATTGAATCAGATCAGGATAGTCTTCGAATAACACAAAATGTCTAGCCATCAGAAAAGGGTATATATGAAGATATTTGTATCTCTCGCTATACCACATTACCGCTAACTGAGCGAATAGAAACAAAGCCACTCTGAAGACTCTGTTTCGGAACAAGCATGCACTCGCTGCCGTGAGCGCAAGATTCGTTGTAGCCGAAGGCTCCCACAATGCAATAATTGCGAGCAAGACGATAGCGTGACATGCATTTATCAAAATCCTACCAAGAGAGTGAATCACCTGAAGTCATTGTGAGTTACTTCACTACTCTCAATAAGATTAAATATGTCTAATTAGAACCCAGATTTGACAGCGTGAATGGAGTCAAAGATCGGCTGATCAATATAGAATCACATCTCGGCCGCCTATCTAACAACATCGCGCAGAATACAGATCAGGATAACTCTTGCTCTAACTTATCGACCCGACAAGCATCCAAGGGTGGAAGCTTTGATGGGGAAGACGATGAAGATTGTCCGGCAAGCCCTTCCCCATACAGCGACGACTATGCCGACTTTCACGTCTTTCATAATCAGGCGGATAGAATAGATTATTATCACGGCCCATTGTCGTTGTTTGTTCTCTGCAAGCAATTCCGATCTTGCGCCGTTTCTGCAAACGATGCTGAATGCAATACTGCTTTGCAAGATATGCTGCAGAATTTGTGTGAAAGGGCCGGTGTAGTCGAACCATTCCCACCCTTTGGGAGCCAGCCCGTTATCAACCTCCTACCAAAACAACAATTTACCACCATTATTGGTCATTTCTTTCAGCATGTTGACTGTGCAACCGATATTTTTGTGAAGAGCAATCTCCTTGCCCAAGTCGAACGTATATACTCGCATAATCCTGAGCCTGGTGATGATGTGTGGGCCATCTGCTTCCAGGCCATTACAGTGCTTGTTTGGGGTATGGAAATTTCTGCCCAATCAGGTAACGGTCTATTTGGCGACTTTGCACGTTCATTCCTTCCGAGTCGAGCTGCGCTGGTCAATTCTCGATTACTGACCACACCAAGACTTATCAACGTACAGACTTTGATACTTCTAGTATGTACAGGTTTGATTTCGTGTTGTTGGTTGTCACACTAGCGAGCTAACCAATTACATAGAGCGTCGCAGCACAACAATTTGACCCGCCGGGGTGGGCTGAGCTTATTTTCACCAACGCTTGTGTGCTTGCAAGAACCATGGGACTTCACCAAACACAAATCTTTCCCGATGAAACCAATACATTTGATGCATTGGAACGAGCAAAAGTCATACAATCGCTTTACGTCCGGGACAAAAGCTTGTGCACTACTCGAGGTTCTGTTTCCTGGCTGCCGACCCACGATTGCAATATTGCTCCCCAATTAAGCGCTGCAATAGAGCGCCATGTACCCTATTCAGACACAATGCAACTAGCAATGATTCAAGATGATGTTTATCGCTTGACGCACACTGCCTCATTTCGGACAAGCAAGTCTAGAAAACCACAAGCTTCCAAACTGTTGCGATCCATTGAACGCCAACTGGACCAATATACACAAACGTTTGGTTTTCTGAATTGCCAGGCCTCTTTTTATGACCCCCGCCGGTCCATGTTGACTTTGGAGTTTCTGGCTACTCGTATACTTGCTTTACAGCATGGATCTGGGCAAAATCATGCCGAACAATTACGTTCCGATGCAAGAGCCAGTTGCCTCTTATTACTGATAGCAAACGGAGTTCAAGATCCTCAAGATATCGATAATTTCAACGCTCTAGCTTGTCAGAAGACCGCCACTCCCAATCGGGACGAGAAGTCATCCACCACTGAAGCGAACATAGTCTCTTTTGCCAGTATACTTGACGCCTTTCCACTGCCAGCATTCTTCATACTACTCAAAGACCTCCTAAAGTCCTCAGATAATGACCACGGGTCTAATTCCGATCTCGATTTATTGCGCAGAGTGTCTGCCTGCTATATACACAGCACAGAGCGGATGCAATCTAACAGCTATCATCGCAAGGTCGCCTGGACATTCGAGCAGCTGCTTATAATAATCAATCTGATAAAGTATTCCGAACAGCATCAACCAATTTCCATGGCTTCAACAGCATCGATATCTGATATGATAATGTCTCTCAATACCCAAACTGAAGACTTCTTCAAGATCTCCCCCCCAGGCTCAATAGGAGATGGATCAATTTTCTCTTTCTCACCACAACCTGCTGCGAGCACGCCTTTCTCCTGGGATATTGGCTCATCTCTCCCATCTTCGTTAGGACCATATACACCTTTTGGCTCGGCAAATTCAGCAGATGCCTCAGATGCTGGTATATCAGATCTACTCAACCAGCTAAGACAAAGCGGTGCTAACGGTAGCCCGGAACAAGTTATGACATGGCCTGAACTGGCACCTGAACTCCCTAGGAAGCGTCTGCGAACCCATGAAGAGCCAGGTATCTCAACAGAGAAGAATGGGTCGATTCAGATGACTTTTAATCCTCAAGGCAAGAAGTTTTCTTCGACCAATGTAGTTTAGTAATATAATATACGTTAATCCAAATATGTCTGTGCCAAACAAAAAGCAAAGCTCCAACCACTAGAGTAGTTTCGCTACCTAGAACTAATACTAGCCCTGCCCTCTACTTTCCATCACTGGTATCCTGCGGCAAGAATTTTGGATTCTAGCATTGCATCTTGACAGACTCGGAATTCGGCACATGAATCTCCATGTTTTGACAGATGCGCTCTACTTGATGTGAGCCTTTTGCAAAATGAAACTCGTGCATAAAATCTTTGAAACATCCAATAACAATGGCTTTGAAAATAGCTGTGCAGCCCGGCCGGCCGAAGCGGGGAATCAGCCGAAAAGTGGACGGCCGAGCCCCGATCCAAACTAGAATGTCAGACTCGTGTTGACTCTCCAATATGTTCAAGAATACATATAGCATTATAGATAGCTCATGCTGCAAAAGCCGATTTCACAAGAAACCCCATGTGAATATTCAGCATGTCTTCTATCAAAGAGCTCAGTGAAAGAATCGCTAGAAACTCAGCTATTGTTGAGAAATGGTTGGCTGGCAAGAATGTCAAATTATCTTTCGATCAAGATGCGGAGGATGAATTTCCTGACACTGATGGGGAACCTGAGATTGAAGCAGCACGGATGGCGGTCATAGATGACACGAGTGCGCTTCACGACTTGTTTCTTGGTTCACGAGAAGTTCTGGCTCGGGTTTGGGGTGCTGTAAGTACCATCGAGAATGATGTGAAGCTTTGCATGCTAAGATATGCGTTTAGGCCCTTGATAATGCAGCTCAACAAGTTATCTATCACTTCAACATTCTCCCTGCAATTCCACTAGATGGCGGAGCTACTTATGCACAAATATCTGCAAAGGTTGGTCTGTCCGAGAGAAAAGTTAAAACAGTTGTGCGTAAAGCAATGTTGAACCGGATGCTGCGAGAGGATGTTCCGGACCATGTGGTTCATACCGCATCTTCAGCTCTGCTATTGCACAATCATAACATGATGAATTACTACGGCTTCTTCGTTGAGCAGATGTTTCCTGCCAGTGCGAAACTAGCCGAAGCGCTGGAAAAATATAAAGACAGCACCGCTGCACAAGATACCGCATTTGGTCTTGCATTTGATACGAAAGATGGGTTATTCAAATACCTCGAGCAAAGCCCAGAGTTGATGGCTCGATTCGTCGGTGCGATGGAGGGTGTCAACAAAGATCCTAGCCAGAGTCAAAAGCACGTTATAACGGGATATCCGTGGGCAGAGCTTGGAGAGGCTACTGTTGTCGATGTAAGTTTGACTTGTGTTCCTGTTCCTGTCCTGGAAAGCTAACTCATATTCGTGTAGGTTGGTGGCTCATCCGGGTTCTTGAGTGTGGAACTCGCAAAAAATTACCCGAAGCTTAATTTTGTGGTAGAAGACTACAAAAAGAATGTTGAGCAAGGAGCTGCACAGTTGTCATCCGAATTGACCAACCGAGTAAAGTTTGTACAGCATAACTTCTTTGATCCCCAGCCGGTAACGGGCGCAGAAGTCTATGTTTTGCGACATATCTGTCACGATTGGTCGCATGAGAATAGTGTCAAAATCATTCGTCAAATTGTACCGGTTATGAAGCCGGGAAGCAAGATTCTGCTGGTCGAAATTGTCGTTTCGCCATCGAACAGACCAATGTCGAGTATTGCTGAACGATACCTGCGGTATGTTCTACACTTCGAAGCCAACCATTCTTTGCTGATTTTTTACTAGAATCAGGGACCTTAATATGGTTCAGATGCTCAATGCACAGGAGCGAAGTGAATCTGAGTGGAGGGAGATCATCACCGAGGCAGATTCCAATCTTGAGTTGACACGCATTCTCGTAAGTCATTCGTCACAATTACATTCCGTCATCGGATTTAAAAACATAAATAATAGACAGTACTGACTTCGTGATGTTGCAGACTCCCGAAGGGAGCACAGACTCAATTATCGAGATTTCGTTGAGGCAGAAAATACATTGATGACTGCTTTTTTGTTAAGGCTCCCAACGTAGCGAAAAATTCGTGTTATGTAAATAAAATTCATGGTAGTTTTGGTGATGACTAGGGTTTACAATGATCCGGACTGCAGTGCGACAACCAGAAGCTTCCAATCAATAAATTATCCAAGTGGTTTAGAACACCCGATTCGCTTCCGATGTTGTATTAATTCAAACATTGAGAACTTATGTCCAACCTGCTGGTCTAGACTACTGACCAGCCTGTTGGTGAATCAATGGAGTGATTTTCAAGGGTCCGAACAGTCTTGATTCCAATTAAATGGCCCAACGGTAGCTATCTCCAAAACTTAGGCTAGCCTATTTACTTAAAGAGCTTGCGCTCAGTCTAATTTTCCAATACAAAAAATCATGTACGTTGTCTCTACGTAAGCAAAAAAAACAGGCGGGAATTGACCATTATTCGAAAGACCTTCAACAACTAAGATTTCTTTTTAATCCTAATATCAAATAATAAAAACACTTGATTTCAATATAAAGAAGACTCAAATTTTCATTTTCTTTTTTCAAATTTCAATATTTAATTTGAAATGAATTTATAATCTATTAAAAAATACCTTTGAAAGAGTACTCAATTTCCGCCTGTTTTTTCGCTTACGTAGAGGTTGTATCATGTACTACACGTGACTTTTCACTATTAGCATATTACCGGAGCCCGCTCAAACCAAGATGACGTAACGCCATCGATAAGTAGGTACAAATCTCACAGGATAATAACGCAGTTGAGTGAGAGTAGTCGTGCTACGGTAACAGTAAGGCCTTTGACAGTCAGTTGCATTGGAGCCCGCGAGTGAGTAAGTAGATACCCTTCTCTCGCGCTTGCGGGACGCTTGATCGAGAGCAATTCCAGGGTATGAGACAGAATTCGAAAGCCGAGGCAAAGAATGACACCAATGTCAGAATCTCGCCATGGTCTTCCAATGATATTGTAAGCAGAATCAATGAAACGAATATCAAAACCTCTACGGAGAGTTGACAGCAATGCAAGTTTCTACCTCTGATTCTTCCAGGTCGATGTAGAGCTGCATTCATTCCTAGCTCCACCAGTTGAATGCATTTGCAGTATTCATCCCACTCGGCAATAATAACCAGTTAGTTCGGCTGCAAGAACATAAAAGGTCTCTCGTAATCTATAGTTGTGAGAAAGGCATTGTTGACTCGTCTGATTGCATGTGCACTAGACAATCATCCTTGGCCGTGAGATGATACTATGGCAATAATACGATGCCCGTAAAGCAAGGGGACTGTTTGTGATGGACCTTGCATGTAAGACGATTTGAGGTAGAAATATCGAGATCCTTCAACTATTGATCCGAAAGCAGATGGAGACCGTATCCCGAAACAGGATGTCGTGATGTTGATCCTGCTTAGAAGATCAAGTATTTTTTGTCGACAAGGTGGTCTCGCGCGCTCTACCCTTGACCCGCGGATATAATTCTTTTTGGGGCATCCAGGTGAGAAGTGGGAAAATCAAGGATGATGTGATATCGCCAGAAAAGCAAGGACTTATTAAATTGTTGATGTTGACTTTCAAGCACGGGACCCACACCCGCGCGGCTTAAGTAAGCCGCGCGCCGTTAATTCTAAATCACGGCATCCGTGCATGATGCACACTGGGTTTATGCTGCAGGGTCCACTCCGCCATCGTAGCCAACCAAGAGCAAGGGCTCAAAATAGGAATGTAAGATGAGAATATTGCGAATGCGGCGCTCGGATTTTGAGTCTCACCCCCGCGCGGCTTATAAACTGATCGCTGATATAAGGATTGAGGGGTTTGGCCTCTGTGATAAAATCATACAGCACTTCTCCTGACCTATACATACAACTTGATTTCATGAGATTATTCTGTGCAAAATTGCGTTTCAATACACGAAGCTTCTCGACATCTTCAATAAAAATGGCTACCAAAACCGTTCTCATTCTCGGATCAGGTCCACGAATCGGTGAAGCTGTCTCTGAAAAGTTCGCGGCAGAAGGATACAAAGTCGCCATTGTCTCGAGAAAAGGTACAAACTCAGTCAATGAGAAGGGCTATCTTTCTCTCTCGGCCGATTTTGCCAACACCGACCCCAGCGTCTTGGCTTCTATCTTCGACAAAGTCAAGAGCGAATTCTCAGCGGCTCCTAGCGTAGTCATATACAACGCCGGTTCCATCACTCCTCCACCTGATGCAGAATCAGCCTTGTCCATCCCAAGTGTAAGTCGCCATCAAACCAGTTCCCAACCACTTTGGTTTCAGCTCATAAAGTCCCCCAATATCTCAATGTGCTTCGAAAGCCAGCATTTTACGCCCGATCACCCTCAGAAACCTTTCTTATTCAGAAAAATGCTAACTGTGTTGTTCCTCAGGCTCGCGTTACCAACGATTTGAACGTCAATGTTGTCACTCCGTTCATTGCCGCACAAGAAGCTATCAAAGGCTGGGAAACTCTACCCGCAGAGAGCAAGAAGGTATTCATCTACACAGGTAACATCTGTAATGTCGCTGTATTGCCAGTGCCATTGTTGTTGAACGGTGGTATGGGAAAGGCAGCTACTGCCTACTGGCTTGGTGTTGCTGACGGAGCATATACAGCCAAGGGCTACCGGTGAGTGCTTGTCCATCCTTTCTTTTCCAGATTATGTTCCACAGAGAGAAACAGAGATTTGCAGTATATCGTCCTCTGACACGTCCTTTCCCAGATTCATTTACGCAGACCAGCGCCAAGCTGACGGAAAGATCGCAGGCCAGGCGGTCAACGGGCCCGCGCATGCCGATTTCTATTCGCAATTGGCAGCGAGTGGCGCCGAGAATGTTCCATGGCATGCTACATTTGTGAAGGACCAAGGTTATACCAAATTTTAGATATCAATTGGCTTCTTAGCTAGCGCATGTAAAATGTCCAAATAAAAAATAAAAATGTTTTATATTTTCAAGACAAGTGCTCAAAGCAGACCTAGCTCTTTTTCTTCCATCTGGTGTCGATCTCATTGAAGATGTTATCTGTTAACAAAATTTGTAATAAGATGAATACTATCGGCTAGATAGATCCGAATCCATTGGCATTTGAATCTAAGTAACGAAAGTAATAAAGTTGCGAATGTATGAATATAAAGGCCGCTGAATTGCCTAAGCAAGGTATTGGAAACAGACAGGGCCAAGATCAATTACATTATAGAGATTCGTAAGGGTTGCGGAAAAGAGCCTTGGAATTGATAAGAACATTTCTTAACATTCATGCTATTGTTTGAATGCACCTTGAAAAGCTTGAAACCGAGAATCAAAGATCAATAAGATTCTTACACCTTCAAACGAGTAGCACAAGAGTGGTGTCACTTCGAAAATATGTAGCGAATTCGCCAGCATTACCCATGGCCCTATCGTTCCACACCTTTTCTATAATATCGAAGCCGCGGCGCACAGTGCTGAAGCGGCTGGCCGGTCGTAGAGAATCTACCATGTCGCGTATCCGAGCTTTTTGCGCAGATTCCGTCAAGCATCCTACGACGCAAAATGGCCAGGCCATTGTGCGCAACAATGCTGGAGGTGATACATGATGCGTCAACAGCTCAAGAACTTGAGCTACATGATACCGTACATCAGGATTGGCAGGTTGCCACCCAGATACGACAACAGACAGATAAAGAAAGGTACTATGCGCCCAAATTCGAGTTACTAATGAGGTTTGCCGAGCGATCGTACGAGCTTGTCCAGTGTAGTCTTCGGCTGCAAACATATCGTCCAGTAAATTGCTCTCCTGAGGTACAGACACCAGATCGGATTCGAAACGTGAAACATGAGCCTCCAGCGTTTTCTTGATTGCTGCTGCGCGCTGTACCAGCTCAATAACATCCAGATTGCCAGCTGCCTTGCAGTGTTTCTTCCATGCATCCAAAACAGCAATCTCGCCGATTTGTTTGAGCACCCAATTCTGACACCCCACAGTAGTTTCAAGGTTGATAGGAGGGACAGCATCGACCCCATCACTTTTACAAAGGAGGCTTTGGTGATAGTCGTACAATTTCGGACGCTCCTGGAAAGCGGTGCTCGCGATGATGTCATCGAAAATCAACAGAGCTGTTGAAAAGCGAAAAGCAGCTTGCTCAGAGCTAGATATCTCAGCTTGTTGGGCTGGCAGGATCCATGTAGGGGGACCCAGAAGCCCGAGAATACTTTGAAATGTGTTGGAAGAGCTAGCTAGATTTTCAGCTCCAACAACATCAACGACTTTTCTAAAAATTGTTAAGGCAGCATTGAGATGCGCTTGACAATTGTCAAATGAAGTGATAGCAATTTCGAAACGTTGTAGCTGCATGACAGCAGCCATAGCGCGAACGCTACCAAGTATGTGCTCATTTTCGTTGTAGCTCTCGATGATTGTAATAGAATTGCGTAACATGTTAAAAGCATCTCTTGTTTGATCGAGTAAGGCTTCCCACATACGATCGTCTTTGATGTTAGAAGTTCCGTGTGCCAATGCAAAGAAATATGAGCTCTGGCAAAGGATAGCTTGACGGACGACGGGGCTGCTGATAGCCAAATCTAAAATCCATGCTCGGCCACCATGGAGTGGCGCAGGCCGATAGAAAGGAAATAGAAACGGAAGGATGCGTTCGAGGTAAAACACGAGTAGCACTGAGTCCGACTGTGCGAATGGTCTTATCTGCAGTACTTGCTTACAGATCTTTTGGATGTTAACAGGAGAAGCGACAGTCGATATATCTGGAGAAGTCGCGCTAGCATCATGTGTATACGAACTGGTTTCACTTTGAACTTCAGATTCTGGAAGAGGGATGTTGAAACTAGCTAACTTCTGATCTGCAAGTCCTGGAATAGAAACGTTGAGATTAGAGGTAGGCAACTCCCGTTTACCACGGCGGCGATAAGGAGCATGCTGCTTGACCTCATTTTTGATCTTCTTGGTCATGACTTCTTGCTTTATACCGCCATCCATCCATGCTGGCTTGGCGCCGTAATTGCAGGTAGAGATGTGGAGCGTCATGCACTCATTGCAAATAGGACGATGCTCATCGCACTTTTTGCGCCGTAGTCGACAAGTCCAGCAGCCGTTAGAACTTCTGTTCATTTTGATCGAAACAGAGAACATTAATGACGTACATGAATTCGAGAAGGGAGAACTTTGGCATACGGATGTAAAAAGAATTGATAATTGATGCTATTGTGAAGTATGAGGTAGTCCAAAGGTCAGCTTAACTTAGGTAATCCATTTCACCTAGCGCCGCTAACCGTGATGCCTCAGGCATCTAAAAATTGCAATTCATAAATTGATGGCGTCCTCGTTCGAAGGTTACAAATGTTGCTCGATTCGATGAAATCGGGGTATAGCAACTCATTGCACACACTCCGCCGCATTGGTAGGCAGCTGACATTATGTTATATACTGATGCACAGTTACTAGTTCTTACACTCGATATATCCCCTGTGGCACGACTGAAGGAAATTTGTCATTTGGTTCACTTGCATTTGCGCTGATGGCACTACGATCTACTTTGATTTTTGAAATAGAACCGAGGGTTTTACATCGTAATCATGTCAATAACCTTGGTGTGAGGTTTAAAGCTATTATTTGGGACATCATCTCCCAATGCTTTCGGCCCAAGTGGCGTACGAAGATTCAACTAAAAGTAGCAAACCGATTCCTATCTCGCCTTTCAAATGATATACATATGTCATATTTCCTTCTTCTCCGTACAACTGGGTGCAAATTGATCATTTTGGATCCTTCACCCACCTCCTCTCGCATATGGACTTGCCTCCCTCAGCCTGTGCCCGAAAAACCAGAGGATCAGAGCTCCAGCATAGCCAACGGCTAGAACCGCGAATCCCAGCACGCTATTACCCCAGCCATAACCAAGTTTGTTGTACATAGCAGGAGCAAAAAGCGGGAACCCAAATCCAGTCAAACTTCTCAGCACCGCGGTCGCACCTATAGCAGATGCAGCGAATAGAGGATAGGAATCGATAATATATGTTTGGATTGAAGCGAACGTCATAGCTGCTCCTACAGAGAAAATAGCAGCACCAATGTCTGCTGAAAGCCAGAAAATCCTCGTTTCAGCGGACCACCCATACATGAAAAGTCCCGCTGCCACTAAGAAAGTGGAGAAGAATAGAAGAGGCACGCGAAATTCGGGTCTTCCAGTATTGTCAGATGATCGAACTTTCAGGGTCTTGTATACATGGTCTACGATACGACCACCTCCTTGTGCACCGATGGTCAAGCCGATCATGATAGCAATATAGTTGAGACCACCGATGCCGATGGACTCGTGATAGTAAGTTGTCCACAACGACGGGAAGCTAGACTAAAAGAAGAAAATTGTAAATCAGTTTCTGACCTAATATCGAAGACAAACATTGGATGAGTACTCACCAGCATAAGGTAAATGATACCATAGACCATCGCAAAATATACGGAGAGAAAAATGACGACGGGTTGAGTGGTAAGCAATATAACGACACGAACGAGCGAAGTTCGCATGATAGAGATAAGACGCAAATCTTTAAGCTCAAATGCCGTCCGCAGCTGGTTATTTCCGGTTTCTTTGCGCAACTCCTCGGCTTTTCTTTGCAAGATTCGTGGGCCGTACGTTTCTTTCAACGTAAAGAAAACGAGGGTTTGCACAATTACTCCGAAAATGGTGATGGAAAAGAAGCACCATTTCCATGTAGACCTCTCGACAATCCAAGCTCCGAGTAAGGGTCCGAGGGCAGGAGCAAGCAGAGGAGCTAGAGTATATAGTCCAATGGCCATACCGATTTCCTCTGGGCGCCATAGATCAGACAGGACACCACCACCAATTGTCAAAGGGGCACAAGCGCCAAGACCACTCAGAAACCGGAAGGCCAGGAACTCACCTTCAGTCTCTGCAAAGCCGTTCACGAAATTGAAGATTAAGAAGAAAACATTGGAGGCTTGAAGAATAAACGAACGTCCGTATACTTCAGAAAGCGGAGCCAATACCAGGGGCCCGATAACGTAGGCAAGTTGAATGATGGAGAAGTTGAGCTGCTTTCGAAAAGAAGTGTGGATGTCAAATTTTTCAGCGATGACATTGCTAGCGGGCGCGATGATAGCAGACGATATTCCCGTCATGAATGCAATAAGCGAGACTACAACAGTGATGCCCCATTTACGCTTGAAAGACCAATTCTTGGGATTAGTGGGGTCGTCTGCACCATACCAGGTCACAATCTTGATGGTGGCATATAAATCAGCTGCTTGTATCTGTATCTCTAATGTTGCGGACATACCATTTGCTCATTTTCATTTTCAACTATCGCTTTCTCAGAATCAGCCTCTGGTATCTTTTGAGAATGAGAAGTTCCCGTAGACGGCGTTAGTGTTCCAGGCGGCTCGCGATTCGAAAGGCCGTCCTGCTTCGTACTTGTCTCATCGTCGACTGTTGCCATTTTTGATTTGTATTCAAATAGCAAATCTGAATGAATGTTAACAAAATAAGCTGATTGAGATTATTGAGTTATAAGAACAGTGAAAGAAGTTGAGCCAATTTACCACCGCGAGCCCCGCTAGAAAGGTGGAGCGCGCGCTGAAGAAGATTCTGGGCCATTTTTTGAATAAAGGTGCGCGCGCGTCAATATCATCTTTCTAGGCAGTTAACTAAGATGAAAAGGCCGAGGATCCGAGCTCCGCGGGGGACAGTTCGCGAATGTAGAGTCTATTTTTTGACATTCGAATTTGAATTACCGAAGGCTGACCTAACGCGCGCGGGTTGTGGGAACAAAAATATTCTCAGGGGTTGATAATTTAGTCAACCTTGTTTCAGAATAGCCACTTTAATAGACTAAATGTCTAAAACGGTATAGACTCTTGGATTTCAGTATGTCCGCTATATCAAATTCAACCTATAGTTGGACGAGCTTCCAAACTTTAGAGAAGCAGTTTAATTTAAAGAGTAGGTATGTCTTTATATTTATTTGAAAATGCACTACACTAATTTAATGCCTAACAAGTTCGAGCTTATTTCTAACTTAAAATCTTTACATCTTCCAGTTTCACAGTCTTCGATGGCATCAATCCGGCTTCTCTACCAAATGTAATGAATTTAGCCTCTTCGCCGTAGGCCTCAAGTACTGTGTTGGACACGCCAGACGCGAACTTTCCGCGTGAAATCATATCTTCGTTGAACGCCGAAATCAGGTCATTCAGCGCTTCACCTGAGGCTTGCGTGTCCCGCGCGCGCGTGAGGACATCGCTGAGCCTGAATGCATCAACGAAAGCTGTGTTTGCGGCTAGAGCACGGACTTTGATCCTTAAAATCAGTTTATAGTTCAATGCATCCAATGCTAAACGAAAAAGAAACACAAGATTGTAAGACTTACATGGGGCCATCGAATGCGCTGCATCACCAATTAACAATACCCTTCCAGGTGGTAGTTGTTCAGGTTCTAACTCCACACTTTGAAGCTGGAAGCCAGGAGTATTATATCCTTCGGTGGGAATTTTGTCGACCAGGGAGCGGAGCTTGTAAGGGTAATGATTGGTTCTCTCGCGCGCAAATGCTGCCAATTGTTCCTGCGATGCCGACTCGGTCCATTTCTTTTCGCCTACTTTGGGAGTATTCTTGTCTACCCAAAGAAGAATATAATAGTAATAGCCAGTCTTACCATCAGGACTTACTCGGTTGAGGGCGCAAAACATAGCTGTCTGCTCATCCCCACTGAGTCTAGGGTCCATGACGATGTAGTTCGAATGTGAGTTAGTGAGCTGTTCCGAGAAGTCGTCGCCGCTGAGTGAGATCTCGCCGAAGATTGAACCGATAGGTAATGGTTTCATCACATCCTGGCCTTTGAGGAAGTGCTGCCTGCGCACTACACTACGTGTACCCTCAGCACCAACCAGAAAATCACCTATTGCCGAAGTCCCGTCCTCAAAATGTGCTGTTACTTTATCCCCATGCTCCTCTACGCGAAGCAGGCGCTTATTGAATTGAACGTCGATACCCTGCATCAGCCATTCTCGCATTCTTCGTCGATTTGCTCGGACAACTTTAAGAGTGTCATCCGCGATGACACCGACCCGGAACTCTGGACGAGTAATATCATAAAAAGAGAATTGTGGCTGGAGATCGAGAGGATAAAGATGGCTTGTCTGCTCGACCGGTCCTAGTTCCGATGGCATCAAAGTCTTCATCAAGTCATAGGCTTCTCCAAATAAAGAGAGCGCCCAACCTTGACCACGAGAGTCATTTCTCACATCTCGCTCGAAAACGGTGAAGGAAATGTTATTTTTCTTCAATTGTTGCGCGAGCGTGAGGCCGCTCATACCAGCACCAATGATAAGCACGTGAGGGGACGACATTTTTTAAGTGGTTATATGTGAATTAGAGGTCGTATGTACCAGAAGCTTAACAGTACATTCGGGAATTTCTATTGATCCATATTACCTCATCTATTATATATTCTAATCAAGACATGAAGTTGACCTTTTTCATAATTCGGCCCCCGAGCTCCGAGGGATTCTTGACTTTTGTCATACGGAAACACTCACGGAATTGCGCGGTGCGGCAGAAGATCTTCAGCGAATGTCCCGAAATCCAGAAAATTCTAGAAGCTAGATATTGAGCGAGACCACCTAAATGTTGTTGGTGTTATAGAAAAGTACGATTCGGGGAGCTTTGCAACTTTTCGGTAATCTGGGTGTCGTTTCTGAGTGTTCACGTGATGTCAGCCTTAACCTTATTCGATAATGGCATTTTCAATAATCTGTCGATCCGATCTACTCCGTAAAAGACGACAATGAGAAGGCTTTGCTCTTTGAATCCAATATAGAGAGAACTCATTCGTCTAGGATGTTCAAGTCCACGAGAACAGTCAAAGCATTCAAAACGTTCTTTTGGCCGTTTTGCATCCGCCGGCTGATTACCAAATTGAGGGTAACACTGCATTTTGCTGATATAACGACCATTGAAGCCTACTTTCGCTTATACCAAGGCTATTTCTCCAATTTATTCCGAAAGGCATTATTAATGTCCTTAGTTGGGTCCAAAAGTCCTGAATTAGTCAAATCATGATGAATCTTCCAAAGGTTTGGATTAGTAGACTACATGATTTTTTTGATGCTTCTGCTTAGAGACGCATCCGGATTCTATCGACTTAACTCAAGAGCCACCGGGGTCCAAATAGTACCCGTTGACTGTATATTGAACACTATACAAAGTCGAGCACCAGACTCATTCGCCCTAGCTACCTAGGTATGTGGTGGTGCTTGACCTCCCATCGGGTCAGTTCTCAGCTTAACAATGCTCGATTGAAATGATCCAGAATCTTTTGAGAGTCACTTCGGTTTTATTGCAATGCTAAGAAACGTCATTGCTTTGATTCTCATAAACTTAAATTTGGTATCTACTATGTTGTTTCTATGCTACAGTAGCAGAGATCATGCCATGAAAGGATTCAGAATCATATACAATGGCCGCCTTAATTTCTAGGCCGACCTCTCCGAGCAATTCTTTCCATTGCTCTCCAGTTCGTTCTAAGCTTCCACATGCACCAAGCATAACCAAGTCCAACGCAGTTGCAAATGGCGGAATTCCCGTTTCTGGAAGTATCATGTCATTGATGAGCAACACAGATAATGGCGTCATGGCTGATTTGATTTGGCGCAAAATGACCTTTGCTTTCTCGTCGCTCCAATTGTGAAGGACCCATCCTAGATGATAGAATTTGGCACCTAATAATCGATCCGATTAGTATGCAGACCTAATCGTACTAATTTGGGGTCATAATTCATTCAAACTTACCTTTAATCGGTTGTGGCTGAAAAAAGTCGTGTCCCAGCTTCTCGACTCCCGGCGTCGGCAGAGCATGAGTCAAAGTGTCAGGCAAATCTTCTAGCAAGATACGACCTGGAATTTCAGGGAATCTACTTTTGAACAACGCACAGTAATGTCCCACATTACCACCGATGTCAACGAAGAGAGCTTCCTCGGGGCTTGGATTCCAGTCTTGGGTCTGCGTTTCGAATGGATATTCCTTCAGCCAACGACCTCGTACACCCTGCTCTAGACCCATATATTTTATAAGAGCCTTCAAATTCTCGGGATGCTGAGAAAAGTATGTGTAGGTATCGAGCTCGGTATTGTATGCAGGTTGGAAGACGGTAGCTTTACCATCTGTTACATCTTGGTAGTTGTTCTTTCGTAAAAATGCTGGCATTTCTTGGAAAAGAGGACCGCAGTTCTCAAAGCTAGATATTTTATCAGAACGTGTTTACCCATTGTTTCTTCATAACTTATACGTACAAATGCGTTACAATTGTGACAGCCTCTGGGGCTGCAAGGTGGCGACATTTACTGTTTGCTCCGAACTTATCTGTCGCAATTTGATGGATTAATCCGACTGAGGCCATGTATCTCAACAGACGGCCTGACAATAAGATCAGCCGAGCTCTTAGCGGGACGACAGTCCGGGGAATATAACGCACCAAGGGTTAGAGGATGAGCACCGGTCCGAGCCTGCAGTTCTTTCAAATTCTGTGGGCCCTCAGCATCTAATGTCTGGAAAATCTTCAAGTCATGACCAATGCGAGCTACAGCGGCCTGTAAAGGCTACGGAGCAGAGTTAGTAAAAGCGGGTACTTGATTGCAAAGACTGGGCCTACGTAGAGAGATCTTCATCACAGTCAGCTTTGAATTTCTTGCATGATTTTATGTATTGGTTCCAAGCTTACAAACGAATTGCGGTCTCTTTAGGTGTCTCAGTAGAGGCAATAGTTTCGTATAAGTCACGTTGGAAGAGTTTTCGCGAAGCCTCATCTTCGGAGGTCAAACGTTTCTTAATTTCTGCTAAAATATCTGCCATTGTGTTAAACTTTGGTAAGCGAGTCGTGTTAAATTTTGCGATTGAGATGAATGCTGCGATTAGGGCCGTTAGATGTTGCACAATCAGCTATTATATACAAGTTACATATTCTCCCCCTGTTAGCTCGGCCGGAGAAATTCCCGAAGATATTGCAGCATTACCCCATTCATAATTAGTTTAATTCAAGAATTACGTCTTTTGAAGAAGTATACTGAGATCTAGACACCTTGAATCCCTCCCAAAGAGTCCCTGGACAGTTTAGAAAATGGTTTGGTGCTTACTATCGGCCGGAGGACCGATATGATCTAAGCTTCGGGACTCGGCTGCCATGGATTATCAACCAGTATTTACCTAGACTCGGATTCCGAATCCCTTCGATTTAGCTTTAATCACTTATATAGAAAGATGTGTGGGTAAGTCAAATCAGTCAATAGAGCCTCAATTCGCTATCAATTAATCACTTAATCGTGCTCACTGATCCACTTCAACGTGCTCACTGACCACTGACTTATTTGCCCTCTGGCACGTAGTAATACATTGTTTATACTAAATTACTGCCGATACTTCGAATGATAAAGGTCCTGTACAAAGCTTGAGTACAATGACACGTGCGAAGATTATTTACTTGTCTGGAGAAATCCCTCAGGGGGATCCCGAAGGAGACCAGCGTATCTTGTTTAGAAAATTACATCTCTTGAGCAAAGAGCGAAATCACCCTATCCTTGCGTCGACCATCGATGCGATCACTATTGCTCTTAAGCAAGAATGCCGGCGTTTGGAAAGGTCACAAAGGGAACTGGTTCCCGTGTTTGAAAGCGTATTAGACTTGACCGATAGTGTTATTGAGCTCAGGAAGACCCCACTGGGTGGAGCTATTGAGCGAGTTCTTGTTCTAGTATTTCAATTGGGTGTTTTTATCGCGTAAGTGAAGATAAAAAAAATCGAAGGATTCGAGTAAAATTGCTGACCTGTTATGCAAAGCTATCACGAAGCTAATCCTCTAGAATACGATTTTCGAGCAGAAAATGCCGTGCTTATCGGTCGAGGCCCAGGTTTGCTCTCTGGAGCAGCCATTGCACTTTCTCCCAGTCCGCTACTACTTCCAGCCATGGCTGCTGAAATCGCCAAAGTCACATTTCGATTTGGTCTTGTTGTAGATCAAGTATGTCGCTCACTGGAAGTTTCACCCAACGAGATCAATGCTGAAGGGGTAAGTCATATCGCAGGGTCTTTCTTTTTGTTAAGAATTATTTACTGACCTTTATGTCTCAGGCTTGGGTATATTGTGCCCATGGGGCTGATCTGAAAGAAGCTCAACAAGCAGTAGCAGAGTTCAATTCGGAAAAGGTGGGCTCACAACCTTGATTTTCGGGAAAACTTTTCGCTAACAAATCAATTCAGGCATACCCAGAAGCAAGCATGGCGACCGTTTTCAACACTGATGGTCAATCAGTGAGCATTGGTGGCCCGCCATCAACTCTTAGATCTCTTTTCTCAGAATCAGAATTCTTCAAGGGAACGAAAAATATTCCAATGAAGAAAGTTCAGGGGATGTGGCATAGCAATAAAGCTTATGGTCTAGAGCATGTCAAGCAGATCGTCGAGGGCATCACACCAGATAGTCAATTGTGCTTTCCAATATTCTCTCCCGTCACCGGTCGACCATTTGAGGCAACAGATGGTACATCATTGCTCACAGAGATGATGACTGAAATATTAACGGAGAGCATTCATTGGGATCAGACCATTGATGGCGTATCCACAGGTCTGAAACAGCTTTCACCAGATGTTGTGCAACTCTGGAGTTTACAACCTTCACATTATATGGAGAGCGTCCTTGGGCGATGGAAGACGGAGCTTCCTTCTACAACTCTATCTCAACAGACGATGATGCCAACCGTAATGAGTCTAAGTCTGGAACAAAGTCCACCACGTGATGCAAAGTCCGCCAAAATTGCCGTCGTTGGTATGGCATGTCGATTCCCTGGTGGCGCAGATGATACTGAAAAGTTTTGGGAATTGTTGGCACAGGGTCGCGATGTCCATAAACCGGTACCGGCTGATCGGTTCGACGTCAAAAGCCATGTAGATCCGACAGGAGAGAAGTCTAACACATCTAAAACACCCTACGGCTGCTTTGTTGACAACCCAGGACTATTTGATGCTTTGTTCTTCGGTATGTCTCCGCGTGAAGCAGAGCAAACTGATCCTATGCATTGATTAGCTTTAGTTACAGCTTATGAAGCCTTGGAAAGTTCTGGCTATGTTCATGGGAGAGGTGTTCATCAGCGTCGTGTCGGTACATTTTACGGATGCGCTAGCGATGACTATCGTGAAGTCAACACTGGTCAGGATATCGGAACTTACTTCATTCCTGGTGGATGTAGAGCTTTTGGTCCCGGTCGCATAAATTACTTCATGAAGTTCTGGGGACCAAGTTACAGTATCGATACAGCTTGCTCGTCAAGTTTGGCTGCTATTCAAGCTGCCTGTACTTCTCTCTGGAGCGGTGATATTGATATGGCAATTACTGGTGGTATGAATATCATTACAAACTCAGATGTTTACGCTGGCTTGAGCAAGGGTCACTTCTTGTCCCCTACTGGAGGCTGCAAAACCTGGGATGAGGGAGCAGACGGGTACTGTCGTGCTGATGGCGTTGGAAGCGTGGTTCTGAAGCGATTAGAAGACGCTGAAGCTGACAATGATAACATCCTCGCGGTCGTTCTTGCTGCTGGTACTGATCATTCGGCTGAGGCTGTATCCATCACACGGCCCCACGATTTAGCACAAATTCATCTTTTCAACCAAATGGTCAAGCGTTCTGGAATTAATCCATTGTCTGTAGGATATGTCGAGTTCCATGGAACTGGCACTGGTGCGGGAGATCCAACCGAGATGAGCTCAGTTACCAAAGTCTTTGCTAACGGGCAGCCGAGAACTACAGACCTTCACATTGGATCTGTGAAATCCAATGTTGGCCACGGAGAAGCTGCTGCTGGTATCATGGCATTTATCAAAACTATGCTTGTTTTTCAAAAGAGTACTATCCCTCCTCATGTTGGTATCAAGACTGGGCTGAATCCGGCCTTGCCCAAGGATTTGGGTCAGAGGGGTGTTGTTATACCATACACTGCCACGCCATGGGAAAAGAGCAGTAGTCAGAAAAGGCTGGCAATGGTAAATAACTTTGGAGCAGCCGGAGGAAACACAGCAATGATAGTGGAAGAAGCAACAGAGCGTCCAAGGATTGGCGAAGATACTCGACCTACGCATCCCATCACCATCTCGGCAAAAACACCGTATTCCCTTCAAGAGAACCTCAGACGTCTCGTGGATTTTATGGAAACGCAACCACATGTCTCTATCGCAGATTTGTCTTACACTTTGTCTGCACGAAAGATGCACTACAATTACCGGGTTTCGGTACTTGCATCTTCACTCAAAGATGCTGTTAATCTTCTTCGTCCCCATATTGATACTGCCCTAGATCAGCTCCCTACCAATCCAAAGCAAGCTCCAGTAGCCTTCGCTTTCACTGGCCAAGGAACATTTTACATCGGCATTGGAGCACAGCTTTATCGCGACTCCAGGCCTTTCCGAGAGCAAGTAAACCGACTTGACGGTATTGCACAGCGCCAAAAGTTCCCCTCCTTTTTGCCTATCATCAAGAGCACCTGCGATATTAAGGATGTACCCACAGTGTCTCTTCATCAAGCTATCGTGTGCGTAGAGATTTCTCTCACACGGCTATGGGCTTCTTATGGGGTCACTCCAAGTGTCGTTATAGGTCACAGCTTGGGTGAATATGCTGCATTGAATACAGCAGGAGTCTTTTCTGATAGTGATACTGTTTTCCTTGTCGGAACACGCGCAAATCTGCTTGAGACACATTGTAAGCCTGCTACACATGGTATGCTATCAGTCCGAGCGTCTCAAGAAAAGATTCTGAAAGCAGCCGATGGCATTCCCTTTGAAGTTTCTTGTATCAATGGCCCCGAGGAAACAGTACTCGGTGGAGTATTGGAAGACCTGGAGGCTCTTGCGACCGTTCTTGGAAAAGCAGGTTATAGGACCATAAAACTTAATGTGCCCCATGCCTACCACACAAGTCAGATGGATGTTCTGGTGGATGATTTCGTCAAATTGACGAGTGCTGTTGTGTTCAAGGCACCCAAAATCCCGGTCATATCCCCTCTCTACTCTAAAGTTCTAACATCTGGGATCGATGTCAGTTACTTGGCAAAGGCAACTCGAGAAACAGTCGACTATGTTGGCGGACTCAATGCCGCTTGGGAATCTGGCGTTTTGTCTAAATCCACACTCTGGCTAGAGATTGGTCACCATCCTTGCTGTGTTAGCTTCATCGCAAAGACATTATCGGATACTCGATTGACATCTCCAACAATGCACCGAGACCAAAACAATTGGACCACGCTCGGAAAGGCACTCATCTCTCTATACAATGCCGGCGTAGCCATCGATTGGACAGAGTACCACTTACCTTTCGAGCAGGCTCTTCGATTAGTCGATGCCCCAACATACGCATGGAACAACAAGAACTATTGGATTCAATACAGTGGAGACTGGAATTTGACCAAGGGTCAAGCGCTATCAGATCCCAACTTCACAAAGGCCATAACTCAAGCTGTCAAGGGTTTCCGCACTACAAGTATCCACGAGATTCGTTCGGAGAACTACACTGAAACCTCAGCCCAGATTGTGACTGAGTCGGATATGACAGACCCAGCGCTCAAGGATGTTATTGAAGGACATGCTATGAACAACTACGGAGTTGCTTCTTCTGTAAGTTTACTTATTCGTATTTATTCACTATAACACTCCTTTTCTAACATGAGCAGTTTCTTCATGCAGATATGGCCTTCACAGTCGCGAAACGCATCCTTGATAAAGGTATTCCAAACTCTTCCAATATTGGCATCAATGTTACCGACTTTGAGTATCATGAACCTGTAGTCAAGCATTACAGCCCAACAGAAGCTCAGCCCATTGTGGTGAGTGCCGAGGCCGATTTAGTAAAAAGACAAGCTCATGTAAAATGGTACAATCCCGCCAAAAATCTATGGTATTGTCATGCAACTATCTCTTACGAAGATCCATCATCTTGGTTGTCGACATGGTCGCGATCATCAGGCCTTGTGACAAGTCGTATTGCAGCTCTTAACGATCTAGCCACCCGCGGTCATGCCGATAAATTGACAACCAATCTTGCATACAGTCTCTTTGGAAAGTTGGTCGGCTACTCGGAAATGTATCGAACAATGAAGTCAGTAATTCTTAACAAAGATGAAGCTGTAGCTGAAGTGGAATTTCCTGCCGATACTGCTGGTAATTGGACAGTACCTCCTCATTTTATTGATGGATGTGTCTCCTTATCAGGTTTCATCCTGAATGGAGGTACGCATTTCGATAACAACAAATACTTCTACATCACACCATCATGGAAGTCCATGAGGTTTGCAAAGCCGCTTGCACCCGGTGGGAAATATCTAGCATATGTCCGAATGGTCCCTGCGGATAAGAACAACTTCGTCGGTGACGTCTACATTCTTCAAGGAGACGAGATTGTCGGTGTTGTCGAAGCCATTGTCTTCACTCAATGGCCACGTGTCATGTTAGATCGCTTCTTCCGCCCTCCTCCCCTCAAGGCTGCATCTCATGCCTTGGATGCCTCTCAAGTCGCCCTCTCTCTCGCTTCGTTGGGTTCAGGTGCCACTAACTCCAAGTCGCAATCGTCTCAACAATCACCATTCGCGGGTGACTCTAAGATCGTCTATTAACTCCTCCTTCACCGACACGAAGCGTCCACGAAAAAGAAAGCAAACATGAATCATCGCCTCCGAAAATGGAAGCTTCAGGCTCTTACATCCGTGCTAAAGAAATCATAGCTGAGGAGTTGGCCGTTGATATTCGAGTGCTGACTGATGATGCAAACGTGGCTGATTTCGGGCTGGATTCACTCATGTCTCTTGTCATATCTCAAAGATTGCGTGAAGAGCTCAAGACTGAAATTCGAGACGCTTTCTATTTGGAAATATTGACTTTTGGGGATTTGAAGAGTTTGATAGGGTAGATATGGAATCGAGGTGTTTGGGCGTTCGGATTTTTGGGTTTAAATAGATATTAGAGTAGATGCTAGATATTTATTGAATGTAATTCGGTTTTCCTCACATAATATGATTTCGACGTCTCTTATTGTTACCTAAGTACCTGGGTATTGTCTGACTGTCAAAGGGGAACCAGGTGACACTGATTGCTCAGCATCATGAGAATACCATATCTCAGAAATTCCGACTTAGTCCTTTGAAAACTTGTTCCCACAGCAATATAAGAATAGCTACATCCCATATGAAGATATTAGTCTGTCCTCTTCTGCTATTTTACGAATCATGAGAGTTCTATTTAAATGGGGAATGAACGAAAAAAAGCTGTCGATATTATGGCAGCTTTTTGAAGTGTCAGGATACTCCATGATCTACATGTAGTTTTCACTACTCCAAAGAATATTGTGCATTTCAAAATGGTTATGATTTGACTTGCTTTTATTGCTGGTGCAAAAGAAGGGGAATCTCTAGAAATGTAGGTTCACATATAGACCGGTTTATTGATTCATCCAGTTGAATGCTTCTTTATGATTATATAACGACACTAATACCCCGTCTTTCCGAAACATCCATTCATGTACACCTGTAATGAGATACAAAACAATTTCTCAGATATCCGTCTACCTAATCATTGAACGCAGTCCAATGATATCCAGTAGTCCAGCCAAATCTATTGTCCTTTGGATTTACCAGCTTTGGCTTGCTTAGCAGCAATCTGCGCTTCGGTATGATGAGGCTCGCGCTCCTCGATGGTAGCATCGCGTTGATTCTTAGAAGCTTTGCCCTTCTTAGCAGCGATTTGGGCCTCGGTATGATGGGCTTCACGTTGTTCCACGTCGCGTTGATTCTTAGAAGCTTTGCCCTTCTTAGCAGCAATTTGAGCCTCGGTGTGGTGAGCTTCACGTTGCTCGACATCGCGCTGGTTCTTGGCTTTAGCTTTAGCTTCTTTGGCTGCGATTTGTGCTTCAGTATGATGTCTGGTTACAACGTCGCGACCATTCTTCTTCCCGGCCTTCGCTTCTTTGGCAGCAATTTGTGCCTCTGTGTGGTGAGGTTCCCTCTCTTCTACATCACGTTGACCTTTGGAAGCTTTTCCTTTCTTCGCTGCGATTTGTGCTTCAGTGTGGTGTCTGGTTTCAACGTCGCGTCCATTCTTTTTCCCGGCCTTGGCTTCCTTAGCAGCAATCTGTGCTTCAGTGTGATGTGCTTCTCTCTCCAAAACATCGCGCTGTCCTTTTCCTTTTGCCTTTGCCTCCTTAGCGGCGATCTGGGCTTCGGTGTGATGACGATTGATGAGACCAGGAATTTCACGAGTCTCGATGGATTCTATGCCCGTACCAGCCTATTATTTGTTAGTGACGGTCTCATGCATCTAAATGTATGTGAAGGGTATGACTTACAATGGACTTCTTATCGATGGAAGGGATAGTAAGAGCCGATGTGAATGGGGTAGAGAAGAGAAGGCCGACGGCGAGCAAAATATTGATGGATGGAGTATGCATGATGATCGAAGTGGAATGTATCTGAAATAAAGAAGAATAAAGTCAAAAATCTAACAGGGGTACTGGCCGGCAGTGAGCGAATGAAAGAATGTAAAGAAGAGAGGTAAGAATGGAAGCTCAGAAGATGGCGTGAGAAGTGGTGTGAGAATGGAGAAGGCTTGAGAGAATTAGAGCGACTTTATACATATACAAGAACAATGCCAAACAGCGAGATAGGGGTGTATGTTGTCATAGGTTTCTTCAGATGGTATCCCGACTTGGGACCAAATCCAGTATGCTGGTACATGTTGCTCTCGCCTCTAGGTTACTCGAGACGAAATGTGAATGATAGTCGCAATCGATTTCGTATACAAAGCTGCAGTAAACTCATTGTGATTGGTGAATGATGAGGTGGACTTGCACCATTGTATTGCTTGAGATAGATCAATAATAGCTATTTTAAGACTAAGTACCCATACATTGTCAAACGATAGTCTCATCTGAAGTAAATGCGGAGGATTGATAACCGCCGACCAAGTTCAGAAAGTTCAGACGGTTGTTGCAATATGTTGGGGCATTAATCAACGTCTAGTAAATGAGAGGAAAGTATAGCCTAGCTAACAATCACACTGTCTTTGGATCTTAGAATATCAAACGTTTCAGATGTAACTAAGAAGCCTTGTAAAGATTCGAATGAGAAAGATAGATTTCCGGATACTGTGAAAGCAACAACCATTCTCGGGGCTGATTTAGACTTCTAAGTGGAGCCAACCGAACTTCTGATATATTGATGCATAATTTAACGACACAATCGTAAATACAATCCACATACACCCAAATAGTTGCTGATATATTGAATGCAACAAGCTGACAATATTGTACCGACAACATCGATTTTTGTTTTTAGTCGTTGACGATTTTTTGCTGGGATGGAGCATCCGCTTACATAAAACGTGGGCCTGTCCTGTAGTTTCACCCAGCTAGAATAGCCTAAAATACCCGGGGACTCCTGCCATTTCCATGCTTCCAATTCTTTCAACTGTCACAATTCTCAAACATCAGAGGAAGGGTTTTTATGTTCAGATGAGACATCTGCTGTATTGGATATCGTGGCAGATTAATTCAACGGTTGGAATCAGCCCAATGCAATAACAATGATGACCTATTGACCTCATGGATATTTCTTATTGTCATCTGAAGTTTTTGAAGGTTTGTACAATTGTTTTTGTTTTCCCTTCCTCTCCTCATCGCTGGCCGTGGTCTTTTTCGTCTCTTATTGTTTTTGAAATTGCTTCTGGTTAAGCTATTCTCTATCTAATTTTTTCTAAATTTTTCCAATTGTTTGACTGTTCAAATACAATCCGAATTTCGTCAACGAAGAGACTTTCAAAAATGTCGGCTGAATACCATCGAGTTGATAACGATGAACAGTTCATCGATGTATCTCTCGGTCGAAGATCTACTGACAGCTTGAATTCAACGTTGTTAGACTCAGAGTATGATGGAAAGGCTCAGGATGTGGAATCTATGCCATTGCCTAGACATACGTACGATAACCGATGGATGTGGTTGGTACACGCTGTACTGCTTTCATTTTCATTTGGGTTATTCATATCGGCATATTGTACCAGGATAACAACGCTCAAACACGTGAAGGAGTACTCGGCATGGTGTAAGTATTTTTTCACGATGAACGGAAGATTCATGGACTAATTTCAATGATCAGCTCCCGCTGCAAAAGCAGTCGAGTATCAAAAAGTTAAATTCAATAACACCATGGGAACTGGGTCGCCGTATGTGGGCTACGGACCAGACGTTGACAAGGCATGGAGTTCTATTTCATATGATGGTAGGTTTACTCATCCGCCCTCGTTATCAATTCGCTGAATTGACATGCAAATAGTTGGCGATCAAATGATTTTACCAGATCAACTCGACAAAATCGGGATGCCTAACACACATCTGAAAGTCAAGGATCCAAAGACCGGAGTCGAAGGTTACCGAGTCGGCCTAGAAGTTTTTCATCAACTACATTGTATAAATCTTCTCCGACAAGTCACATACAGAGACTGGTACGAAGACATCAGTGGAGAGTTCAAGGGAGGACAAAAGGGCCTTCAAATGCACACCGGTAATTACTCCTCGCTTACTTACCCCTTCATTCACGAGCAGTTCTAACAACCAACTTTCAGATCATTGTCTAGAGATCCTACGCATGAATGTACAATGCAACGCAGACGTTGGGGTCTTCACACTTTACATGGTAGAAGATGATCCTCTTCCTTGGCCAGAACTCAACTCTTGGCATGTTTGTAGAAATTTTGATGCCATTGTAGACTGGGCCATGGATAATTCGGTAGGAATCATGGAAATGCATGATAACAACACGGATACCAATGGCTCCACGTCATAGATATTCGAAATTTTGTATACATAAGAATTACACTATAGATATTTAATACTGCAGCTACATTTGAAGCACTCAATTTCAGGCGTGAAGTGTCTCCTACTTGGCTCCTGATTACCGACCCTCTGAACGTCCGAATAATTTTGATCAAAATTTCAATGCCTAGTTGCTTAACGATAGTTGAACAGTGAAGATATCAAAATCAATCACAATGCTTCCATCGCTTCCCCCACCATGTCGAATATCAAACTCCTACCCCGCTTATTTTACCCCTGGATCGGTAGTTGTCCACGCAGGGATTCCCCGACAAGTCATGTTTTAGAAGTCGATGTTTTACATCAGATCAAGACTAAAAACACTATCTAATTGTCCATTTTCAACACAATGGCCAAAATAAGAGTTGTAGTCGGGTAAAAGAAGAGGATGGCGAAGGCAAGTCGTGCCGATGTTTTGTATCATGTCGTTGTTACTTCATGCTGTAAGACGTAGTCTTGTGTGATGCCAGCATGGAAGCGCTGTCGAAAACGCGGTGATATGAAAGATTATCGATTGGCATATTTTGTGAAACTAGAGGTTATGAGTGGAGAGGGAAAGGAGTACGAATCAAGGTAATGACAAATTTATGGAATGCTTTATGGTGTGGTTTTATCGTTTGATCTCGTGAAGCTCATCCTATTGTACTACACTGTCATCGTCACTTTTTCCATTAATTCTCTTCAATTACATATTTGCTTCGAGTGTAAACTTTGTTATCCTTTAATTTTGTCACAGAGCTGGTTCTCAATTTCCTTTCCTTCGTCCCATATCTCCGTCTCTCCAGAGACAAACTAATCCCAAACCAAATACTCCAAAAAGAAAAAAAGAAATGTCCCCAAAAGAATCCGCCAGTATCTACCAACCCATTTCTGAGATGGACATCGAAGACGTTGATCTTGAAAATGACTCCGACACTACCCTCGGATCACATGAAAAATACGCGACCTCAAAAACTTCTTCCCCTTCGCGTTTCCGTAAGCTATTCAAAGACAAAAAATCGTGTAGGAAATTGAATAATATTTTGATGTGGGCAAGATGGGTTGTTGTTATCGTAATGCAGAGCTTGATTGTATATTTATTATTGAAAAGTGGAAAAAAGAGCGAGATGGATGAGGAGGGCTGGGTACCAGCTGATACAGAAACTGGCGGCGATATTAATGGGATTTATATACCTCGTAAGTCCATCTGTCGCTCTTGCGGAAATGATGATGCTAATTCTCTGGTACAGAATCTCATAAGTGGACACTCCTTAAAGGAGACGAATCATCTTTCTTCCCAAATATGACAAGTAATGATGATCGAATGCAAATTCGTCATAACTGGGATATGTTAATGCCATGTGAGTGACAAAAGGAACAAAGAAGAGGTTTAAGAAAAACACTGACTTTGAACAGTGGGTAGTGGAACTGTCAAAATTCCCGATTACGAACAACATCCCATGTTAGGTAAACCTATCGTCGACGACCCCATTCGTTCCGGTCCTATATACGAAGCATCTTGGACCCATGCCTTACATTGCGTATGTTGTCTTCTTTCTCATCTTCTCATGAAACTCTCCGTTGACCATCATAACAGCTCTACTATACAGTAGATACCTATCATCAACTGGTTCTCTCTTCCGGTCAAACTTTTGGATTCGATGGCGCCCGAAATGATATGCATGCCTCGCATTGTTTCGAATATTTGCGCAATCAGATACTATGTATGGCAGATATGACGCTGGAGGGGAGTGAAAGCGTTCTTGATGCTACGGGGGAGGGACAAGCACATGTTTGTAGGAATCGGAAGGAGGCTATTGAGTGGATTGAAGAGAGGCGGGTGGATGATATTCAGAGTATCGTTGGGCCTTGAGCTTAGACATAACGCTTGTATACATGATTCGTGGTGTAAAAAGAGGTTCTTGATATGTGATTCTGCTTTGAACTGTGCTAGGACTATTACTGTTACGATAATTCTTCCCGCTATATATGAAATAAAATGGAACAGGAAGCTAAGTGGCCTTTGATAAAATGATAAGTTGTCTGCGAAGCGAGGTCTGGTAGATTCTATATGTTGTCTAGTTAAACATATTATCCAACTTGCGAATTTAGACTTCGTATGAAATCATTATTTTAATATCATCTGTTCCTCCTGAATTGCGATTTCGATTTCCATCTCTGTTCACTTTTCTCTCCAAGGATTGTCTGTTATAGACATACGCGGAGATTATATTGTCTCATCCGAAGGAGTGTTTATTGTTTGTGCTGATTTAAAATTGTCAAAAGCATCATCATCCGCGATCACTGTTGCTTCTAGATACTCTTGGAGTAATCTCATTCTTTGAGAATGAGAGCCCGGATTCTTTCGGTGATCATGGCCCCAAGATTTTATGTAGCGTGCAACTTTCAGATGAGGGTTCGCTCCGTAGTACCTGCCTTGTGCAAAGACACGGTCGAGTAGGTCGCGGTTTGTAAAGAAGAAGTTCCCCTCTTCCAATGTATTCGGGTCATAATTTTTAATTGTTAGGACCGGCTCGAGCAGCATAACCATTTCCACAGAATCCATCATAATAGCACATGTTGTGGCAGCTTTAATTACGTAGTAATCACAACTCAGGAGTGGCTCCGAAAGCAGGGCTTTCACAACCTGGGGTTGATTGTAGATGACAGCCCATATCAACGGAACGGTCGCTTTAGGCTTTTCATGGTCATGGCTATTTGGCCAAATATACTCCTCAACTTCCTGTGGCAGATCTGGCAAGTCTGAAGCTAAGCATTCGTATTCATGGTTGAAATACTTACGACCTCCGAAGACAATGACCTGTTCAGGCTTATTTTGGGCAATTGCTCTTGTCAAGATCCAATTATGCCGTTCGAAGATAGATAAGCTTGAAATTGAATCAGCTGTGACACAAGCATTAGAAATTGCATCAATGACGAAGAGCCTAAATTTTTCTGAGATCTCTTGCAAATCAGTAGCATAATTCGTTATAGACATGCTCTTTGACCCCTGATCGTAGACTTCAGCAGGTATGGGCTCCAGCCAGTAATAGCTGTTTTTATGTATATCAGAAAACAGTAACCAGGAAACGATATGAGAGTGCGAGGAATTTATAGCTGCCAGAAAAGCTATGTTTCTCTCAATAATATCTTCGGCATAGGTACTTGCGGATTGAAGTTGAAGTATCATTTTGAGATGATGACAAAAACCCAAAGACGCTGCGGTAGAGATAGCGTTGTGCTTATATTTTCTGACATCTTGCATATATGACTGGTCATGAATCCCAAAGAATGGATGCGAGCTCCAACTCTCTCCATCACTCTTGAACAGAAATTGAAGAAGACGATTCAATTTTCTAGAATCACCGGACTCAATAAGAGCTTTTAGATTTGTATTTTGAAGAGCAGTAAGCTTGGCCTTGTACGACACTGGAAAATGTTTCTTCAATAGGGAATCAATTATTTCATCACACGGAAGAGTCATTGCTCGTTCCAGGGAGTTGAAGTAAGTTCCTTTGTACTCGTAAGATAAACTTAGTGGAAAGTACACATCTGCTTGGAAACTTTGTATGAGCATCAGGTGTCCATGAATTGTGGCTTCTAGGCAGAGATGCGAAAGCACAAGTGATCTTAATGTTGGTTGTCCCAGAGCTCCGGTAAAGTAGGGCATTTTTCTTTGATCAATAAACTCAACACATATATCTAGGAGTTGGCCATTTCCTCGGCGACAGGCCATAATCATCCCGCCATAGAGCCAAAAAAGACAGTGTAGTTTCGAAGATATGTTTTCGGGGGAATAATAATCCAATACCATGAGACTTTTGTCTGGTATGTCGATTCCTTGTCGGCCCCCCTCCTTTTTGTGATATCCTATGGTGCTCCAGAACAACGAACATGCTTCACTGATGTGATCAAAGATCCTTCTATCATTCACTAAGAGTTCCCTCAGTAATGGTAGGTTGTCTTCGGCTATGGCCCAACATAGAGGCGCAATCTCGTCACGATCCCTGAAGGAAAGCCTCTCCCAGGGCTTAAATGAGAAGGTGAGTTGTTTGGTAAAGAGCAATTTTCTGAATAATTCTCCTATCTCTCCAAAAGTATCCAGTGTGAAATCTTTAGTGTGCGAAAGCCAATTTTCTTTCAAATAACCGATCAACCGGTACTTGTCGAAAAACTGCTGGTTGGCCATTTCTTTTTTTCGAATTTGAATATGCCGAGAATAATCGATGTTACTTTCATGATCCTTCTTGAATTTCTGAACCATCAAAGCAGCTTTGGCGGCTTTGACTGGAAAATTTGACGACTGTGAAGCCCTAGGTATCAAAGACTGGGTGGTAACGGCGTCCTGTAACATCGTCATGTTTGGACTGATAGTATTGTGGTATACTGTGACTTGTGCTTCGAGATCAGTGAAAGATAAATAAGTCACACATGTCACACCCAGTGCTCTATTTGACTCTTCCCTTGTGGTGTGAAAGTATGCCAACTCGGAATTTTGCGAATGGAGGATATACTGTTCAACTAGTAGAATGCGTGACGATCAGCTACTATTCATTCCTCGTGCAGGTTACTGATGAAAAAGCAGCCAGATAGAATGTATAGAAAACCACACGACTTTCTTGCATGGTTTGATGTAAAGGACCTCTTACCTGTATAGTGGGCAAGATGAACCTCGAGGGTTTCTTCATCAATCATAATAAGATTTCCGCAAGCTCTAATCAATCTTCGAAGATCATTGGGTATTTTCGTAGAATCCCATGATTTATCGCCAACAGTGAAAGCTATGGCTTCCCGGAGCTCATCCATGTGCAATGGTCTGCATGAGCAAATAATCCAGTCAAACATCCTTTTCACAAATTCACGCCTTTCGATCTCGATGATCCGTCCAAGAAGTCTGTCATAAGTCTCTTCAAGATTGCGAGGAAGATTCTGTAGAGCTTTTACTATTGTTGCATCCGTTTCCATGCGACAGAGTTCCTCAAGCTGGAATTGGACCCAAAGAAACCTTGGAGCAAGTTCAGCATGCCTTCATAGCCGAGTTGGAAGAAAACACTCACATTCCTTTTGCACCATCTCTGAGAACATTGAAAATATCATCTTTAAGAGCCAAGTTACCCAGCACTAGGTCGCCAGACATGATCAGCTCATCGATAGTATGTTTTATATACGCCTCGATGTCTGGAGAGATAGAATTCGTTTGAAGGTGCACTTTGAAAGTGTTGAGATCGGACGAAGTTCGAAAAAGATAAGTAACATCCTCGCGACTGGAAACAAATAATTTGACTGGCGATGTTGCCTCATTGACGATCTTTTTCAAGATTGAGAAAGTAAGCTTCCGATCGGACTCAGGCAGTTCGTCTAGACCATCAATAAAAATAGCCACACTTGATAGCTCATCTATAGCCTTTATCAGCAAGGCGACTATTTGATCTAGGCTAGGTGATGTTGCCTCGTCTGGATATTCAGCCTCGAGGATAGCTATTAAAGCTTCAGGAATTTCATTCATGTCACGAAACAACTTCTGAGAGATGAAACCAAAAAGACCACTCGGGGAAAGTGTCCTCTTGTCGGCATAGTCGCAATAATAATAGGAAATGGCAGTATCGGCAGGGAATGCCAATTTAGAGCCGTCTATAAGGCTCGAAACCAAAACCGATTTGCCGGATCCAGCTGGTAGATTTTAGCATTTATCGATCCGAGAGCATATATCTGCAGCTTATGAATACCATAACATGACATGACAGAAGATTTGTTCTGGTTTTGCCAATTCCTATAGTCAGCCACACCGGCCAGCCAACTCCCGGTCCCACTATGCCGTATCTTCTGCAGTCGACGATGCTTGTTTCTGCAATCAACTGCGGCCATCTGGGAGATGATCCTTCGTAGTCTGTCTCCTAGTCCGTAGTCAGAACACAAAACAACCATATAGTAGCCTGCGAAATAACCTACTTCGTTCTTGTTCTTTGCTCCGCATTCTTTCTCTCAATTCAAGCTCTCTAGACTCCTTCGCTTCGATATAATGGCACATCTTAGCTTCACTCTCAACCGCTTTACGGTGCTCTCTAAATGTCTGCACAGCATTGTCAAGTTGCGCTCCAAGAGATGTAGACAAGGGAGACCTTAAACGCTTGACGAAGGAAGATTTTTGCCCGGTCAATATATTTTTGAAATTTGAACAAAGAACAATTATGTCGAGATACGCTGCTGACAAAGTTTGCGTAAATTTCGGATGCTTTTCATGGTCAAAAATCGCTTGATATTCGCCTATAATGAAGTGTCAGGATACAGAAAGTATCTCAGGGAATTATGCTTACGCAAACGTGGAAGTATATCTCCCACGCGAGCAAAAGTGTCTATTATTCGATCATAGAACTTTCCTTGGCTGCTAGCCAGGACAAGTATAACACGAATACTTCCCCATATTGGAGCAAGATATAAAGGCGCAATGTTGGTGAAAGTATCCATTGCCGCACCATAATCTTGGATGGATTTCGTCAAAGGCTCGAGAGACTTCAAAATCGCTCGAGTTTTGCTATTTTTCTGATCGGCCTTCTGGATATTGCTGGATTTGTAGTAAAGATTTTCTGGTGTAGCTTCGTTAAACAGCGCCTGCTCTGCAGGATCAAGTTGATCAATGAAGCGGTTCCTGGCAATGAGCCATGGGTCACGAGCGTTCACTGATGCTGCCACAGGAGCGGCCATTGCGGGAGAGTCGTGGAATCGAAGGACTTCTTTTGTTCACCAAAAGGAATGAAATGTGAATCTCCAAAATATTGATATGAGTATCGTCACTCCATTTGGGCGCAGCACGCTTCCTCAGCCTTGCGGTGCATATAATCCTTGAAGCTCATGCATGATTGAGTGGCTCGCGACCTCGAGAAAAAGCCGGACACCAACCCCGCAAAAATAAAAGAGAATTTAGAAATAATCTTTTTCAAAATTCAATATAAATTTCTTTATATTTTATATTTTTTTGAAAACTCAAGTTTTAGAATCTTTTTTTGATAAATTATTAATGTATATAATTTCAATTAAAAAATTGAATTTGTTGTTTTGATATTGAATTTTGATTAAAGTGTAGAATTTTGGTGGACGGCTTTTTCTCGAGGTCGCGAGAGTGGCAACAGCCTCCTCACTGGTTGGCCGAGATGTAGCGACTATCAACTTCGAAGGTTGGGCTAATGCCATTTATTCTTCAATTACATTTGCTCTAGATACCTACCTATGGAGTATTGATTTTTCGGACGATACCGCTGCAACCGAATGGATCAGTAAAGAATGGTGGTTTCCCTACAGCCAGGCAAGACACACACAAATTGCCTATGTCCTTAAGAGCAAAAATTAATGGATGTTCCCAAGATTTCTACAGCAATAAATAGTTGATTTCATTTCCTGCAGTCCTCAAAATCCACGGAACAGCCTTATCACAACGCGACAGGTAGTGAGAGACACACAACGAGCTATTCATTCGGCAGTGCAGTGCATACTAAAATGCGAAACTTCGCGCGAGATGATTCGTCATCGCCAGTTCGACCAAACAGACCTTTAAACGGGAAAGAATAAACTCAGTTGAGAAGTGACCACTTGGGGATTCATCCGGGTGAATCTGCAGACAGCACCGTTTCGTGTCGCACGAAGCAAAAATCAGTCATGTTTTGCGATAAGACCTTAGCATTAATTGATGGAAGCTTTCAGTTACTTCTATCACGCCTGCAAAGTGTGCCATGTCTATGTTCGGTACTTAAACATACCAAAGATGGCTGCATCTATCCTCTATTGTGAGTATTCTGGCAGATTGTTTTTGTACTACGATAATCCGGTCATTAAAGCGCTCCAATCTTCTGTATTTATCGCTTCTAACTATTGCACGACAGGCCCGTCCGTGGAAGGCTTCCTCAACTGCGTTGCATGCACTCAAAATCACGGCCATATCAACTTAACATGTGGCATATATCAACACTCCAATCCATTCACTACCGCGTATAGCTAATCCCCGGCTTTGACTTACGGTCGGAAATGTGTTCGGATGCACACGTGGAGGATACCCCCATTCTCGAGCCTCGCTTGGAACACAAAGTTCATCACCGCAGACCTGAAACTCACATCGCCAATTTCATCACGAAACTTGAAGCACCTGCATGACGGCTCCGTCTGGCCCTTGCAACAAATCTATTCCGGAGACCGGTATCAGCTCCAAACCCGCGTGAAGAATCCAAAAAACTTTGTTTGGTACCGAGAAGCTCGCCCCATATCTTAATGCCGAACTTGGAAAAACTTAAGATGTGGCCCCGTTTTTCGGGAGTGTTTGTGGATTTGTTCGGTGGTCATGAACAGAAGGTGCAGGAAAGTAAGACTGTCTGTGATGAGACACGCAAGACGCATGAACGAAAATGAAATTCCGAGGACCGCATATTACATGTTATCATTTTATATGCTTTCCTCATATCGAAGCTCAGACAGAGATGTCATCAATTTAGCCGCAGTAATTTGCGAGTGCGAGAAACAGGCCATTAATTTACCTGACGGAAGTGACGGGTATCAAGATGGCTTAGTGCAAAAGCTCAGGAGGACATTATCCATGAGATGAATCAGAGAGATGGAACGATATGAATAGTCCGAATGCCCGTGTGAAAATAGGCCTGGGGAAAGGGTTCTCTTCATCCACTGTTGAAAGTGGAGAATTGTGAAAATCGGCCAATCTGGATCCGAGATGGATTCGGTATCACAGTGTGGCCCGTCACTGTCCGGTAACCTCGGCTCTCCGCATACCACGACAATTGTGCTATCACAATTCCATCGTTAGTTGTGGCGTGAAAATGATTGAGAATGGCGGCAATGAACCTATTCAGCTGGGGCATGAGTAGTCATTCCGGGAATAATCAATTCCGAGCGATGAGCGAGACTCGAGCGAGACTACTGCCAAAAAGATTGCCCAGAATGATCGATGGTTCTGATGGCTTGATCCTTGACTCAGGGCATCAAGGCATCTCTTGAGGAGATGAGTCGCCTGGACTTCCGAGGCTTGGACTGTTGGTGAACTCTTAGCAGTTCATCCAGACTGAGAGTCTTCAAACCCCTCATCTTGAAGGCTAGTAAGCGCCATTTCAGACTGTGAGTATGACTTTGAGGATGTGATTTCAACGAGGCACCTCGGTAATGATCGACATTCACTTTCCACGCAAACGACTGATGTCCTGAAAATACTTCAACCGTATTCAAGTTTCCTGGTCTACTACCCTTGGAAATCTCCTGCCAGATTCACCCGGCAGTTTTACTCTTCCCATTAATTAAGGCGGAGAAAACGCTCGCTGTCTCATACACTGAGACATCATGTCGGAGTCAAATTATATGATGTGAGCCATCAAATACGAATACATAGGATTCTCAATCTCAAGCAAGAAACTGAATGAACAGGATCTACCACAAGCACTGATCTACTGGTCCCCAAAAGCAAAGAAAATGATTATTTCCACGCCACCCCCGCGCGCGGTATCTATCATCAGTGCACCGCCGGCATTTGGAAACTAAAAAGCAAATACGAGAACTGGAATGGTCAGAGGTATAAAATAGTTTGATATTAATTTGATAAACTTTCGGCACCATTCCGTAACATTTCCTGCATTACCAAGTAGATGGGTAGCCTATCTAGCTTCCTGATATTTTCCACGATGGGAAGGACGTTTGTAGCATCACTTACCAACAGTATGGTTACGGTTCCTGGACCCTGACTGGATTTGATAGATCATAGTCTACCCAAAACTAGTCTACCATTCGAGTTTTGCAAATCTTTCCAATATCTATCTAATCTTGGGTCAATAATCTAAAGCCACGATTCAAATGTTGGTAGGCTATTACAGCATCCTTACTCACAACCCCAACGTTCTCTACGCTCCTCGTCCCAGTGTGTCAATGACTTCAATTCAGTGCAGGCATCTAGATAGATTATCAAAGGTTGGTTACACCCGACGGATGGCATGAAAAAGCATCAACTTCACATCCAGGCACCTTGTAGAACTTCCAAAATTTGTGTCGGTGGCTGAGTAGTGGATGTTGGTGGATGTACCCCGCCAAAAAGAGCTCGAGCCTCCGCCCTCCAAGTTTTCTCATCCCCTCTTTGAAATCCAGGTGATTTTGTACACTGCGATTTTCAAGGGTTTGCATGAATTTTGTATATAAAAGGCCCGTAGCTAGGGCTGAAGATTACGTCTTTTCTTTGCCGCCGCAAATCAAAGATGTCCGTATGTATGTACGTACTGGCTTTCGCAGAACTTGCCTTGGGCCCGGGTATATCATACGGGTATTTAGCTACCTGTTGTAGGTAGACATCTAGGCGGATGGTGGCAGGCATACATATGACGAATCGAATCATTGCTCAGCGCTGTTCATCTGCATGCTTATATAAGAGTGTTGCAAGTATCCGGACTATGTGTGTTTGTGTGACAGGAAGTGATAGGAACGTGATGTTATTGGTTATACTCATAGTGAGAAGCTGAAAGACAATGTGAGGCGCAAACGCAACGGGGAAGTCCACGGGTTCCAAGGTTGTGTCTATTATGCTTTTGTGGCGTTCAGATGGCATGTGGCTAGACGACTGGTGGGGTGGCATTATCTGACCTATGATATGTAGATGGATACTGCATGCACTTATCAGATAGCTACTGTAATTGCAATATCTATCAAACGACCGTCAAAAGCACACGGGAACTCGAAGCATCAACCCGGCTGGATCTTCATCGGTTGAACAGCGGCCTCGCGTTTTGACTACTCAAGAAAGCCCTAGTCTAGATCTTAATTTGCTGCAGTCATTGCAGTAAAGAAGGGTTCCTTTAGTTTGAACAACAAATGTGGGTATTCTAAGAATAATGAGGATATTTTGAGTTTTCACGATTCCTCAATCCACATTCATGTTGTCTTGATGACTCGGGTTAGTGTTGAGCCAAGACAGATTGTAGCTCAGAGCGTGAGCACAAGGCGAAAATTATTAACAGTAATATGTAATCTTGATCAAAGCGTACCGGTTCAGGTGGATTGAAAAAGTATAACTGTCTTAATAATCGATTTTCATGTCGGTTGCGCCTAGATGGCGCTGAAAATCTGCATGTAAAAAATCTTAGCTTTGCGGGGTAAATGGCGCGCACCCGGGAGGAAGTGGACTGGTAAGGTGTTGGGTGAGCTTGGATAGAGGTATCGTGTATATTAAGTTTAGAAAGCTATGAAATTCATGTGACGATGTCAACGCGAGTATGATAATTGACATGGGAAAATGATCAGGAAAGTGGACTCGTCTATAATCATGGTAATTAGCTCGCTGACGAGTTGAACTGTCCACACTGTTCCTAGTCTTCACACTTTGGCTTGATCAAGACAATCCTCAATTCATCAAGTTTCGAAACTGTTTGAGTCGAACAAGACAGAGGGGAAAATAGATGCCCGAATTGTCGTTTAAAGGATATCAAACCAAACTTACCGTTTTGGCATTCTCATTAGTGAATTGATAGGTTTGAATGGAAGTGGAAGCTAGAATTGACCAAGCATTAAGCACTGACAGGACCTTATAGGGCAGAAACTGATCAGCGATGCGGATGTAGAGAAAAGCTCCGTCAATGCTGTTGTGAAATCGCCAAATAAGAGGCTAAGAATGTGAGGCTAAATTAACAAGCGACGAGGCTCGATACCAACTAACAAGAAAGTAAATCCAGTTA